TACCAACGAGTATTAAAGTGAGAATAAATACAAAACTATTAAGTTATTACCTTAAGGAAACTGAATGGAAACACAAAAATTGATGCTGAATTAGGCTAATGAATTACGTTTATATTCTATTTAGATAATTCGGTAGAAACCGCAAGGGGAATTTTTACATATTTGTTTGTTAATATAGGTACAAATTGATGAAACCAAAGCTAAATAATAGCTATAATGCGTTTATAATATCCTTACTAATTAGTTGGACAAATCATTTCACAATCACCTTGAATAGTTCTACTTAAACCTGATCACATTTTTCTCCGATTTCAAACGACTACAATGACGCTTCTGAAGGCAATTACGACAAGCACCTTTTTCTAGGCTTAGAAGATAAGGACCATAATCACTGGCAACTAGCTCGCCCGTACTCAGCTTTTTGAATAAGGACGGCACATATAAAACGACGGACGTAAATTGTGTTTACTGTGACGAAGCGGCATGCGAGCACACGTGTAAAGATGGCACAGAGGTAAAACTTAATGCAGTGCGCGTGTGTAAGTGAGCACTGGCGGCTAGTGATGAATACCTCACTCGTGAGGTGCCTCGTTTGAGTTCCTCATCGCGACGGAATTCGTATTTCAACTATGAACCACCATAGAACTTAGTTATTAGCATTCAAAATTTCAAACAGGCGCGTAGGCTTCGCCTCCTTCTCCCTCCCTCATTCAGTACGATAACGTTGCTTCACCAAACCAAAGAGAACACATTGCAACGTTCTCGCTTTGCGCGCTCTACCTTACCTCGCCTCAAGTGAGGAGCAAAATGAAACCCTCCCTCATCCTCAATGAAAAAATTCATATCGCTACTGGCGGCCTAATAGATTACATATAACAATTCTTGATTGGCGTGTCGCCCTCAATAGACACGTTTCCCTGCGTGTGCGAACAGGCAACAGTGCTCTCCACAGCTTTGTTTCTGTACTGTCTTTACTCATGTGATGCGAGCGGGTAGTGTAGAGAACTATAAATCCGCTCATTACTCGCAAAGGTAGGTGTATACAATACAATCATCATCATACGTTACACCTGTCGTTTAATGGCCCCGATATGCGATTACGTAGTTGCCTATAGCTGTTATGTAGTTACATGGAGGTAGTGATAGTGATTAAATGTACCTCTTTTAAGAATGATAGATAAAAATCTGTGTTATAAAACAAGACTATGCGTACCCAAAGGGTAAAAACGGGACCCTATTGCTAAGACTCCACTGTCCGTCTGTAACGTCTGTTTGTCCGTCTGTCTGTTTGTCACCAGGTTGTATCTTACAAGACAGTTGAAATTTTCACAGATGATGTACCTAGTCCAGCCATAAATTCTGTTACAAATGAAAATGCAATATTTTTATGAAGGAATGTAATATTATTGAAAGTTATACGTACATATTTATTAAAGTCTCAGCAAAATATTAAAAAAAAAATCTATTCTAAATGACCTTTGGCTTTTATACAGGCCTTTAATCTGATTGGCCACGAATCTATGGATTTACGCACTGTTTCCAAGGGAAATTTCGCCACTGCTTGCTCTAAAGATGTTTGAAGAGACTCAATGTCGCCGTAGACCTTGTTGGTTTCAAGCCGGGCTTGGGTAGTTCTTGTCTTGTGGTCTGGTGCAAAATCCTGCTGGAAAGTTGACGGTATATTTTTGTGAGGTTTCACAACATGATCTAAGACTGTATCTTGATACATTTTGGCTGAAGTTTTCACTCCTTTTTCACAAAAAATTAGTTTTGTGACTCCTTGATAGGACACGCCCCCCAAACCATCACTAACGCAGGATGATGTCCACGCTGTCTTCCACTTTATCATTTGCTTATTGTAGTGTTCTTGAATCGTGAATTTTTTTTCATCGGTACAGGATATTTCTGTACTATTCGACTGCGAATCGCGACAGTAGGCGTTTTGATCAATCCACTCTTTTTAATTGTAAACATTGAGTTAGGGCATGTCCTGTATATCGACGATAAGCACTGAGCTTCAGGTCTTGATTTATAATACCGACAGAGAACTAGCGGGAATCTTCATTTCTCACGATAAGATTTTTTGCTTCCTAATGAGGTTTCGACAAATTCTGACCGTAACCGCATTAACAGCCTTTAACAGCACGCGGTCACCCCGATCTATTCTGGTCTTCGACAGACGAAGTGTTGTTGTATCTGTTGATAGTACGATATACGAATACGGCTGATACCAAGCTTTCAAAATGTCTGGAATATAATCACTTTGTGCAAGGCGATTACTTTATACCTATTTTCTTTAACAACTCGTTCCATATTGTAATTTGATAATGAACACGAAAAAATATGTGAAAAGGCGCAAAATCGAAAGAAGTATTTTAAATATTATACGTGTTCCAAATTCAAAATAATTGAAAAGTTAAAAAAAAAGAAATGTTTTTATGTAAGATTATTTATGGCAAGACTAGTTATTTCTGTTGCTGCCATTACAACAAATATTAAAGACAAAAAACATAAGGGTGGGTCCTACAATACACGTGTTTTTTATCATTATATTACGGCAAACGACAACAGTTATACGCTTGAAATATTCACAGAATATTTAGTTGTAACTTTGAAAATAAATAATTTAAATATTTAAAGGGCGGCGATACAACAGACGTGAATTTATACAGTATCTTGCTCGATATTATAATATCGTGTCTAATGTTGTACCTATAGGTCAGGGTAGGCGAACCAATGGCACGCGTGCCACTGATGGCACGCGACACAATATTTTGGGCACGTCGCCAATCATAAAACATGTGTAAAAAATGATTTAAGTAGGTATTTTATGACGATCGAACGCAAGTGATCCTACGCTACGAAGTAACTGTTTGAAGAAGTTAACACATGCTATTTTAAAAATGTTTTCATCTACCTATGCCTGCGAATCATTGTTTTCAGAGATGAATAACATTAAAAACTCGTTTAGAAACCGTTTGACAGATGAATCCAGTTCAGCATGCATTTTGCTAAAAGTAGCATCTTACAACCCTAACATAAATTATTTGATATCAAACCTGCAGCAACAGAAGTCACACTAATTTTACAGTAATCTAATTTATGCGTGTAATAAAAACATTCCAGAATGTGTCTCTTTGGTTTACTTTATTTCATAAAGATTTCTGATAGTATTTATATTATTATCTTCTAAATAATCATAAAGTCAAAATTATTTGATGGCATGCCAATGACCCAATTAAAGATTTTTTAGAAAAAATGGCACGTTGATTCATAAAGGTTCGCCTACCCTGCTATAGGTAATGGTACGGAACCATTCGTGCGCGAGTCTGACTCGCACTTGGGCTGCTTTTTTCTTTTCTTCTTTATTTCTTCGTTTAGAAACCGTTTGACAGATGAATCCAGTTCAGCATGCATTTTGCTAAAAGTAGCATCTTACAACCCTAACATAAATTATTTGTTATCAAACCTGCAGCAAGAGAAGTCACACTAATTTTACAGTAATCTAATTTATGCGTGTCATAAAAACATTCCAGAATGTGTCTCTTTGGTTTACTTTATTTCATAAAGATTTCTGATAGTATTTATATTATTATCTTCTAAATAATCATAAAGTCAAAATTATTTGATGGCATGCCAATGACCCAATTAAAGATTTTTTAGAAAAAATGGCACGTTGATTCATAAAGGTTCGCCTACCCTGCTATAGGTAATGGTACGGAACCATTCGTGCGCGAGTCTGACTCGCACTTGGGCTGTTTTTTTCTTTTCTTCTTTATAATAATTTATGTTAGTAACGGGATTGCTACCAAAGTATATGATAGCAATCCCATTAATAACATAAATAGTGTTAGTGACCATGGAAGTGTATTTATTTATCTATATTCACAAACAATCCAAAGAAAAAGTTTTGCTGTATGCATTCTTATTCATCTATTAGGAAATATAGGTGTCTACCTACGCAGATGATTGAAACCGACACTTATTAAAGGTAATCCCATCTGGTTAGATGATAAAATTGAACCTGAAGTAGATTTTTGGAGAACTTAAAATACTGTTTAACGCCAATCAAGAAGTGTAGTTATTTGTAATTATTAAAAGTTGAATTTCAGAGTAATTACGTAAACATTAACTTTTAATTAATGATAATTTTATTTCGAAAATTTAATTGATGATTAAACAACCTATACATAATTTTAGTTCAAGTATTACGAGTAGAGTAAGAAATAAGAGGAAGAGTCGTTCACGAATCGCGTTTATATCTTTATCACGCATAAAACAATCGCAGGAGCATTGAACATTGTATGCAATAACTTCGCATATTGTTAATTTTTAGATTTTTAACTAGCGAATTTATCACTTTAAAAACTGGAATACCTGCATTAATATTCAGTATAAATTATTGTCTTGCGGAAACTACTAAAATAATAAGTTTTAAATGAGCAATCAGGTACACCTGACATCGAAAGTAAAAATCATTGCAGTTGGCTACTTCACGGCCTTTGCTTTGCGGTTACAAGGATAAAGATACAAAAGGGCACAAAACAAAATGCACATCACGACACCATAAAAATATAACAATGGGCAGATACCAGTAAATGCCGCCATAAGCAGAAGAATGATTTTCTGCGGAAATCTTAACAATTAGTCATCGCGCAAGAATGTTTACAAAAACTAATAGACCAGAGGCTAATTTGGGTTTATAAATAACTTAAATCACGTGATTCGGTTACTTCATCGCAATTTTGATACTTTAGTTACAGGTAATAAAATAATAGTAAAATCCATAGATAAATGATTGGTCTCGCTACAATCAATTGCTAGTAGAAAAGCTAGGGAGATGAAAAAGGTAAGTGAGGAGTATACATAGCGTATTGTAATACATATAAAAACACTTTAGTCAAACATAACATCGTGATTAAGACAACTGCGAAGCCTTCACAGTTTTCCTGCAACCGAGGTCACAAAGTTAATTATGATAATTATAAATAAAAACTTACCTTATAGATAGGATTCCATTATTCACCAATAGTCCGAACAGTCCAAATATCTACCTAAAACACACACAAGTAAACTTTCTAAAATCAAAAACTGGAATGGCAAAGGCTTCGCGGCTGCGCGGCCGGTTGCAGAGGTGGGCGACGGAATGTGACTCTTGCGCACAGGTAGAGCTGCGCAGGCGCCGAGCTAAGTGTAACTGTGTGCGTGACTATCGGACACTATAACAACTCAGTCTTTTAACAATGTGTATGCAACGGTATCCGATACCCTATAGAACTAACCTGCTTGCAAGCGGACGTAGAACCTGTACAGTTTTGCTCTTACTCATTTGAAATTACCGACTTTTTATATTGAATTGTTTAACTTAGCTCTGATATAGCACTGCATTTTGATAGTAATTATATCCAAGTTATAATAATATTTAATACATTCACAGAACTATTTCAGTATTTGTTAGGGATTTTTTATTTAACTTCAATAACTATTATTTTTACCTCCGTAAAAAAGGTTTTTACTAACTAAACTGCGGTATTATATAAAAACAAATACAAGAAAGTTTCCAATTGGAATCCCGGTCTGAGTTGGGAAGGTTTCCTTAATCTCGAATTTCTTTAATCTGTGTAATAAAATATTAAGTTGCTTATTATTGCTTAGTTAGCGTCCGCCTGCAACTTCTTCCGCGTTAATTTTGAACTAGGTTCATGTGGGATTCTCAAAAAACATTTTCCAAAATTTTTATACCTCAATCCACTCATTAACTAAAATACAATCATCCAAATCCGTTCCGCAGTTTTTGCGTAATTGAGTAACATATCTACAAACTTTCACATCCTACTATTTTATTAATATTATAAATGTGAAGATTTGTATGTTTGGGTGTTTGCATGTTTAATCCGTCGTGATTGAGTATCACGCAAAAACTACTGAACGGATTTGGATGAAATTTGGTACGCAAATAGTCTATAATGACCTGGATTGAGACATGGATACTTTTTATCGCGAAAAATTGTTAGGTTCCTGAGGGATGTTCAAAAAACTAAAGTTAACGCGGACAAAGTCGCAGGCGGCCGCTAGTTTATAACGAGTAGGTACGATTAGTACTTAAAAATCAAAACACACACACCAAAGGGGACACCTTTCCTTAAAAAAACAAAAAAAAAACATCTATTAGCAAAGGCTCGATGAAATGAGCAGGGCCTTACCCAGTAAAGTCTGATGACTGAGGTCCCCCCTGTGCATGTCAGGAGTGCTGGTTGAAGCTGCGGGAGCGAATATCCTAAGTCCATACATACCTACTAATATTAAAAAGTATGTTTGGATGCATCTTACTCAATCACACAAACTCAATCGATCAATGTTAATTTATTACCTGCAGACCCCTCTTTCCCTGGGCACTTTGGGCAAGTGCCCAGGGCCCCGTGATCGATAGGGGCCCCCCTCAGATCAAATACAAAGTCCCTAGTTCCTGTTAAATCACCAAAGGGGGGTCAAAGGGGCCTCATTATCCTAATATGCCCATGGCCTCCAATAGGTCAAAGACGGCACTGATTACCTGTATTAAGTAAAGCAATTCTGGTACTTTTCGTCCTGAGAAAATGTTTAGATCTTGATGAATTCCCAAAAATACTAAGAAAAATAAAAGTGCACTATGCTTTCTCTTCAGCGTCCGTCGTCTAAATCATTATGGATTTTGAATTCTCTCGTATTGGCGTGCTTACATAGATTCATCCAATTTGAAATCCTTAAAATTTTGCGTTGCTCGGGGCAAAATTCAAAATCGTGGTTGTATGTAACGTAGGTGATACTGATGATGCTACCTACTGGTAGTGTCATCTACAATAAGTGAGTATTCGCAATCCTTATTGTGTTTGATAGTTTACTATCATACACCTTTGGAATCTCTAACGAGGTTCGTGTCCATCTGTATTTCGTGGATATGTCCGCAAAATTACAATTTGGTACGTATAGATATACAGGGTTCATTTTTAAACACCAACAACCTCTAAGGTGGTGAGTGATCACCCCCTAAGAGGTTGTTGGTGTTTTAAAATTAACCCTATATATAGCTTCAAATAACACGCCAATACATCGTTAAATTAATAAAACCTTTCTTATAATTTTCATAGTAGTAAAGAAAAAAAACTCAAGTAACCGTTTTTAAATAACGTGTTTGATAGTTTTCTTTTACCGATGGGGTGACCTACAATATTGATTTTTTTAACTTTTGATATCAAATCCAATGTTTGAAATTCCAGAGGTCCAGAGGTGGGGAGAAGAGGTCAGAATCACCTAAAAAATAGAAAAAAGAAATTACGAATATACTTTTTGTTAGGTAAATGTTAAGATATCATTAACTATCAAACATCCCGGACTCGCACGACAGTCGCTAATTCATAGTTTTAATAACTTCATATTGCTAACCGCCTTCAATGAACCGGCTTGCTGGCTGCTTTTTGTGTACTTACTTATATTTTCGTTAATTTTCATATTTATGGTCCTTTTTTCCACGACTTAGTGTAGTAGAATTAGTGATTTGAGTAGCTCATTTTAGACAGTCTGATTATTCATCAATCTGCTTACGGTTTCGATTTGAAAACAATTAATATCTACAACCACAATAAAAATGAACAGAGGCCCAAGCTCGAGTTTTTGACAGCTTCGTAACGTATCACGATACGTTACGAAATGTCGTCAAATATTGAATGTAAAATGCTAGTTTGTTCTTACCTGCTATAGGGGTGCTGCTTAGTTTGCATAGAAACTTCGACGATGCGATACGTTACGGAGCTATCAAAAACTACGTTCTTGGGCTTCAGGTCAATGATGGATTGGTACTATCAAACTATTGATGTCCCCAATGCCAAAGCATAGGTCTTCCCTATTAATGTATGCCCAAGTAGCCCTCCGCAGCGGACGGGGGGCGGTACGGTGGGCACTAGGCCGCGCCCCCACGCCCGGGGCCATCCTGCGCACGTCTGCGGGGTCCCCGCAATACCTCCCTCGGGAGACCCCTGCCGTGGAGCCCCGGCTAGGCCGGGAAGCTGCTGGGTGCGGAGTCGCAGAAGAATCCCTAAATGGGGACCCCGCGGCTTCGCATTAAGCAGTGTAGAAGGTATTCGCAGGATTTTTTAGCGGATATTATGCCGTAAAGTGCCCGTAAGAGTTGCGGGGTCCTCGGTGGGCAGCCACTGGGGGGTTCGTAAGACTTGCGGGAACCGGGGAGCGGGAGCGGGACCAGGTGAGGTCCGTTCGGCGGTGTGCCTCTTAAAGGCGCCGTCATCTGTAAACAGCATTTTTTAACTGCGTTATAAAAAAAAAGGTCTTCCCTATTAATGGAATAGGGAGATTTGGCCGTTATGCACCACGCGGGCCCTGTGCGGATTGGTGAGTTCTGACTACAACCGATGGAGACTGGACGAACGGCTTATCATGCTTTCCGGAACACAGAGGAGCTTGAGATAATGAAATTAATGAATGAGCGTTAATATTGAAAATAACATCGTGTCGTACCTAGGTGGGTGGGTAACATTATTTTATGGTGAAGTGAAGAGCTGCAAGCTTTTTCGTCTATGGAAAAACTAACAAATACTGAGGTCTAGCACTGCAAAGAATATAGGCTGTGCTCGTAAGCTTAGATTATTTAATATAGGCTCTTAAGCATATACAAGGAGCTCTTCAAACAGACACCAATTTCATCTTCTAATTACCTACGTTGCTCGAGTCAGATTTTAATGGAATAAAGACTAAATATTACTCCGAGATAGGTAAACTTTCCATATATTTTTTTAGATCATTGCATCAGATTTAGCAGTTTTGGTTTGATACAATTCCAAAAATAATTAACATTTGAATAATTTTTACTACTGTTCCTTATTCAGTCTCTCAAACTATTTTTTTGCAAATAAACCCGATGTATAGAGGCGCAAGACCTACATTTTATCGTGTTATAGTTAGCCATATGTCCTTCCCCGGGACTCAAACTATCCCTGTACCAAATAACATATCAATCCGTTCAGCGGTTTAAGCGTAAAGAGGTAAGAGACAGACAGACATACTTTCGCATTTATAATATGAGAATGAATATTATGTATACATACATATATAATCTCCCAGAGTGATCCTGTATGCACCAAGTCAGACTTCAAACTTCGCCGTTCCAACTGTTTAATTCATGTCCCAACTCCTGGAGCACAGGTCTGGCCCTATATATAGAACAGCGAGCGCAGTGGGGACTGGTGGAAGCCTGACTAATATGCAGCCGTGATCAAAACGTGTTTCCGCAGCACAGAAGCATTTGAGATAGGTAATACCGTTTTGGACACCGTAGCTTTTGCAGCCGCCCCTCGCAGCCTGCTGCCCCGACGGGGATCTCGCGGTTCCGCACTAAACAATGTAGAGGGTATTCGCAAAAAAAGGGTAAATACGCCTCTGTGCATAATTTTCACAATCACTGACCGAACGCGTTAGTCACGCGCGATATCGTACAGCTGTTATACTTGTTTAAAGATTAATGTCTCAATTATTTTCAATGATAATAACGAAGGGGAAGAATTAAATGAAAAATAATTATAAATTTGTTATACAATTCTATTTTTTTCAAATTTACTCTAAATATTAAATTAACTATATGTAAATAAAAGAAAAAAGTAGATTATAACAAAATTTTAAAACATTAATAAGAACTTATTCGAGTAATTCAATTTCTCAATAGAAAATATGATTTATCAGTCATACAATATAGAGCTATCACACACGTTACATTTCGTCGCAAATGCGTAAGGCATGCGTGCGATGTTATAGATAATATTATCATTATTAAAACATAACCAAAACATCTATCTGTGAATTACATGCGTTCATTTATACGTAGCTGCATTACAAAATTTCTTAGCGAGGTAATACTGAACCATTAATACTTAAGTAAATAACTTTTACTTGAGTATAAATTACCATTTGTGAACAGGCATGCGATACTGTTTTTTATTTGCCAGTAAAAGTAAACTCCTATATTATATACTATTACTCATAAATAAGTATTAATAGGTCAGTATTCTATCAAACTTGCTCAAAGAAATTAAATTACAATAACAATAGTTCTCTTTCTTATGCCGGCGTTTCACTTGCCTATTTGTATTTGCTATTTGTTAACTTGACATATGTGTCCTTATCATGCTTTATATGGTATGAAATGAAAAGACAGCTGCCAAGTTTACAGCGTGACATCTAAATATTTGCGCGATTGTTTTGCAAGTTCGATATTCTGCCAATTCGTAATCGCTAAGAGTTACGTATATATGTTGTTTGTACAATACCTTTAACACTAGACGTTGCTTTGGTAACTTCCGTTAAATATCATCAATTAAATATTGATTGTTAAAGCCACAGTAAAATCAACACTGTGATTCAAAATATTGTATTTTCAAATTTGAAAATATATAAATTACATGTTCTAATAAAAACAGTGTGTTAATTAAACACATATTCTACAATTAATAAAATATAAGTATACTGACAGTGTAAGTCGTAACCACCGACAAGCCCTTTACTTAAGGGCGATAATGGCTTGGCTATATCTCGATAATTTAAACAGTTTCTCCTCTTTATTAAGATCCAGGTCAAGCTATTACCATCTTAAAAGTAGCTGATCGACTTACTTCTTCTCTGCATACGTTGGAAAAAACGGAAAGACGTTACCAAAGACAATAAATTTCAAGCATACAATTCAACTCATTTAACATGCGGCGAATTAAAATTAAGACTCAATTTGTACAAAATAATTATTCTAAGTGCTAATTAACGACACCAAATTAGAACCAAGGCTTCTCCAAAACCAATTTATGTTATAAATAATGCAATAGTACACACATAAACATTATCTGTCGCATACGAATTGTCGAATTGTGGTTATTTACACTCTAGTTTTCGATAAGCCACGAACTTTTATTAATAACTAACGACTCGTGCCGTTTTGGTGTTTATTTTTTACTTGGTGTTCAAAATTTCTGTATAAAAATATCTATATGTCTTTAATCATTTTAGCTTCTGTCTAGTGGATATTTAAATATTTAGATTTTTACAAACGTTGTTCTCAAAATTACGAATAAAACTAAACAATCATAATCCAAATAGGTCGTGCCGTTTTCAAGTGATGCTCCGCCAAAAATGTGGCATTAAATTTCTATATTTTATAGATTTCATTTAGCACAACTTCAAGTTTACGGTAGTTGTTAAGGAATACTATACAAATAAAAAACATTGACAATTATTTGCGAATTAGCACTGAAACGAAACAAAAGAACATGTAAAAACCGATTCTACACTAACAACGGATTTTCTCTGCTCGATACAATAGGAACCGACGATTGAATGGAAAATTAAATTAAAATAATATCTCAGTGCAGCAATTAAATAAGATATTGCATCTTATTTTGAAAACAACGCCAAAACATGGTTTTCCAATACAACCAATCATTGTGGATTTTTGTATTCGATAAGCAACCCCGTTCAGGAGCATGACACGGGCTTTCAGTTTCAATTTATACCGAATACTTAACAAACTATGAACACTGTAACATCCAGGTAATACAAACTACGTTAGGATTTACAGATTTTGATAAAAATCAACTGTATTCAAGTTATGAGAACCATTTAACAATTTCACACAACGCTCCACAAAATATTACCACTTAACGGAAACCCGAATTAACACGACTTAAATAAATTTTGATCCGGTCATTAAACACATCATGATATGATTACATAAGAGGTCAATAATAATTTCGAACGTGGGGTCTTAATACAATAGTATTAAGTTCTTAGCACAAACAAATACTTAAAAATAATCCAAGGAGTTGTAACATTTATCGACAAATTGTGATAACATTATTTTGCTACCAAGTCGACATAATATAACATAACACGTCTAGTGTCGAATTAGTACGAGAGCCCGGTTCTTGGTAACTAAAAAATCAAAATGGGGGCCAATTTACAACCGTAAGAGCAAAAACGATTTCAAACAGCAATTTGTCGATATAAATGCCATATTTTATACCATTAAAGTAACCGACACTGGTGTCGGGACACACTTTATACACAGGACTAGAATTATCCAAGGCCAATCAACAATACAGTTTCAGTACATTGGTAATTTTTAAACTCTTATTTCAATTATCTTAAGACGCTTACAAATGCATTTATAATATGAAAAGTGCAACAGCATTAAAACAAATTAAATCCCATTTAAATCATGTTATGTAAAGCATCGTTAAACTCAGAAACTGGTCTTAAGTTATTAATGACAAAGGTAATTGACAGATTTTAATGAATATACTTACTTTGATCACAGTTTTTTTTTTAATAAGGTTAAAGGGATTTTATTAACAACCAATAGTTAAGTGGGTTTGTAAATGTATGCACAACACGATTCATTTGGGACGTTTAAAAAGGAGAAAACATCAAATAATTATATTTTATACTTATTTAAAATAACTTCCGCTAATAAACGTTGTCTTGAGCCAACTATCAACTTACACTAATCTTATGTCTAGTAAAAATAATAATTAAACATTTCAGCTAAATACATTTTTATCTCTGAAATCGACTAACAAAATGCATATAACAATGTCGGCAATGATAAGCTGTATTCACAACGAACTCTCAACATTGTAAATATCTAAAAACAAAACAATAAAAATCGTAAAACTCAACAAGACAACAAGTATATTGCGTTCGATAGTTGGTATCTCGGAAACAAATGCTTATACAGGACGTCCCACAGGTTTGTCACACGGAGGGAAAGCATATTAAATATTGAAGATAGGAATTTTACTGAAAGAAGACACCATTTAATTTTTAACAATAACAAGAACTGCATTCACAGGTTTTTTTATAATCGCCTGCTACGAGTTGAAAAAAAAACCATATGCCGTTTTTTATGATAACCATCGAAGGGTTAATCTTAAGGATTGTTTTTTTTTCTAAATAACATAGTATTTTAAATGAAAGGAAGATCATGAAATTAAAATTTTGTTCAGGAAAATTTCCTCTTACTTATACGGGTTTCCAACAGTTAATATCATTATTTCAAATTATTTACTAACTAGTACCTGCTCACTTAATAATACAGGATTTCCTTACTATAAGTAAGTGCTTTTACAAACCTAGTACCTTTCCTAAAATTTCGTGATTTTTCTTTCATTTAACATGCTAAGTTATTTCGGAAAACCTAATCCTTATGATTTACCCTTTCGGCGGTTATCATAAAATACATGTGTTTTTTGTTTCACATTTTACGAGTTTGATTTCTGGTTTTGGTAGGCGATTTTTCAAAAACTGTGAATGCAGTTCTACTTATTATTAAAAATTAAAGGGTGTCTTCTGTCAGTAAAATATCCCATCTTCAATATTTAATATACATTCCCTCCGTGTGACAAACCCGTGGGACGCCCTGTATAGTGCGACAAGGATCTTTACAAATATGGCGAAAATTGGAACTAACGCCGCTATCTTTGTTCAAGTCATATTTTGTACGTCATTTACGAAGACAGTGGCGACCTTCCTGAACTGTCACTCACATTCTTAAAGATCCTTATCGCACTGTATTATGTAATAATTCGTTTATTTAAATAGAACAACAAATGTCACATTCTAATGTGCATGAGAGTTATGACTGAATGTTATTAACAAAGTGAGTCTCAAACAGGACGTTAAACCTGCGTGTCAGAGACTCATCACGATAAAATAAACTCTATGGCATTATACTTCTAGTTCGGAACGAAATACTCACTATAAAAACGCATTTCACCCGCAGGATTCGAACCTTGGACTTTCAGAACAATAGATGGGTAAGTTCGTTAGTTATAACAGCTAAAAATAGTCCGCATCAATAACGTATATATAAAATCAAGTAAATATTTGAATGGACAATAACTTTTTGTCTCTCAAGCATTTGCGGTTAAAGCACAATAGTGCGCGCCTATAAATTGAGCTTTATGACTTTTCTGTAAGAGTACCTAAAAGTGATCTGAAAACTTTACATGCATGATCTTTGTCATTTTACAATATTACGCGATATTTTCTCCATTCGAGCAATTTGAAAATAAACCGACGGAATGAAGACACGTGTCATGTTATGTGACTCAACAATACTAACGGCTGCACTCGGAGATGTCAATCAAATTCAACCATTGTCAAAAGTGACGTCTTGCCCTATTCTACTGAAATTATAAAGAAAGTGACATCAATAATTTTCAATAATATCGTCACCAGTGCGGCCGTTAGCTTTACTTTATTAAATACACTATTGAAACTTAAGCGTCTCAGTGGGAGACTTATATGTATACAAAATATTATAATACGAAAACAGAATGGCAGGTACCGAAAAGTAGTTACAGCTTAACAATTTTTCGACCATTCAAACAACTCGCGACTCGCGAAGAAACTAAAGACACTCGTGTCTGAGGCGATACGGTTGCATCTCCCAACTCTGCTATTGGTAACTTAACCTTATTAAATATACCACGGCCGCGCAAAAATGGGAGACTTATATACAAACTGTTACATGAACAGAGCGTGATAATGTTATAGCACTTTCTGACTTTGTCGACCAATCCATCACTGCAACGAAGTGAGGAACATAAGGACTACGCGGCAGTACGCGAGGCGATACTGCTGTATTCCGATAGGGTGTAGACAGCAGTATGGTTCTCGTTCTACTAAGTAGTCGATACTTCGGTCACTGCTCCTTCGTCCGCGTCGGGGGGCGGTAATGGTGCATCTTCCTCGTATATCATTCCGATCCTGCTGTGTTCCCGTTTCCGGCGGTGAGCCTGGTTAATTATATACATATTTTTTTAGTTGGCATTCCTACACATATTTTGTAGTAATTATAGATACATTAAATAGTAGGGCGAACTACTTCTGTGGCAATTTTAGCTAACGATCAGTCCGACTAAAAAAGACAATATGCTATTTGAGAGTATGAAAAATAAAATACTACTTATTGGCATGTGCATTTAACGTAAATATTGGAAGCGATTTTACTATTCTCACAAAAAATTGTTGATAATATAGTATTACTAAAAATTATGAAACGAAAAAGTATTTTTAATCTATGTCACGTGACCGATAACGCCTAGGATTAGCAGAGCCTAAAATGACGTCACCTGACGACGACGACGTTAAAGCAGGATTTATTTTCGTCTTTTACAGATATACGCAACAGAATTATAAATATCCATTTATAATTCTCATTCATCTTTTTATCTCTCTATTCACTAATAAATAATGTATGAAAGTTTTCAAAAACTTGTCAAAAATAACCATTACTTGCGTAATTACTTACTACCATTACTTGCGTAATGCTTATTTTTTCGGCGAAAGAAATCTATTTTCTACGTCTATGTGTTAGCCGTAAACATCGACCACCTCACCACCCAAAAATATCATTTTTTAAACTGTTTCCGAAGTTCGAATATTATTTATACTATAATACGAAAATTATTGACATAAGTAATATGTTTATATTGTATACCCCACGGGGTTGGAAAAGCCGATTATTTTCTTTAATATGTTAATGCTGACCTTCGAAGAAGCTCGATGGCGCAGGTGGATAGCACGTTCAGTCTCCGAACGTGAAAGTTAAGCCACTTTCGCAATGGTAGGTCATTGGATGGGTGACCAAAACTTATTATTTCGAGCTTCTCTGTGCTTTGGAAGGCACGTTTAGCCGTTAGTTCCGGCTGCATCTACAGTCGTTAGCACCCACCAATATACACTGGGCCCGCGTGGTTCATGGCTCAATATCCCTATTCCATCCATAGGGAAGGCCTATGACCTAGCAGTGGAGATATTAATAGACTCGTGATGAATGCTCACCTTCATTTTTGGAGCGGCAGAATTCTCCTCCCCAGAGCTGCTCGAACTAGTGATGCCTTCTTCAAGCGTGAGTCGAGCGGCCACGCCTTCCAGTTGCAGGTCCATATACAACTGACCCAGTTGCTCATTGACTAAAGATGGCTGCAAAAGTATAAGAAAATATCTAAACAATTCAGAATAATAGTGGTGATAACGGGGTAAAGTAAACGAAATTCTATTAAGTCCATCATTTAGATTATTAAAAAATAAATACACATATTTTTTCTTTCGTCAATTAACCAAAAAATTAGAAAGAATTAGCGAGTCAAAGTTTAGTTGTTGAAAGCAGTTCGCTGAGGCTAGAAGTTTGGCGATTCTCATTGACAGTCCATTTAGATTTCACAATCATGTTGTCCAGACTGTTAAGGGTTGCTTCTACAGGCTCAAGGTGATGTACCCAGTACGCGACTATCTCAATGTTGCCACCAGAGAGAAGCTTTGTGAAACATTAATTTTGTTAAAACTCAATTACGCGGACGTCGTTATAGGTGAGTGTCTCTTTGGTTACACCAAAAAGCTTACCCAGCGCATCCAGTATGCCTGTGCCCGTTTCTGCTTTTGTAACCTACGCAGAGCCCATGTAAGGAACATAAGGGTAACATAATATTTAAATAAGGGTGATTTAATGAATATGAAAACTAGATATTATTTTTATTTTGCCAGTCTTTTGTTTGGTATTGTTAAAACACATTGTCCTGCCGATGTCACAACACAGCGGCATTTCGTGGCAGATGTCGGTACTCTGCCACGAAGTGTTGGAATAATTTACCTTCTCCTTTGAAAAGCAGTTGTAGTGACTTGCCTTTAAAAGAAATTTTGCAAGATATTTGCTAGAATTACAGAAAGTCGAACTTCCAACGTGATAATGCTGCTGTGTTGTTTTTTTTACTGCCATTCTAATTCACATTCTTGTATAATCATTACCTAGTCAGGTCATAAATTCTGTCACATGTTTAATATAAAATAATTGAAACAAGTTTATTCATTATGTAACCATTTATATACCAAAATGAATTTAACAAAACATAGATTCTTATGACAATAAAGTTTATTCAAAATATTGAATACAGGCCTTCAATCTGCGCGGCCAGTCGTCTACCGCAGCACGAACGAGGTCCATGTCAATATCGGCGGCTGCCTTAATCAAGGATGTCTTGAATGACTCCAAATTGGGATGAGGCTTTGAGCACGCCTTTTCCTGCAAGTGTTGCCATATCTTGTAATCTAACGGACTCAAATCTGGACTGGAGGAAGGCCAGTCTTCGTGCCGGATGAAATCGATTTCACGCGCGGCCAGCCAGTCTTGTGTGCTCTTCGCTCTATGAGCTGGCGCCGAATCTTGTTGGAATACCCAGTGCCTGTTATTGTACATGGTACGAGAAACAGGTTCCACAAGGTTCATCAGGACTGTATTTTGATACACAACTGCATTCATTTTTACACCTTTCTCACAAAAATGTACCTCTGTTAAGCCCCAATAAGAAACTCCCAACCATACCATGAGCGAGTATGGAAAATGACCTCGTTGGACATACGGAATACGGTTGCTCGCTTCTTCACTACTGTGTGCGAACACCTTTCTTTTTACGTTTACGTTTCTTCTTACGTTTGGGATATCTTTGAATTCGCGCCTTCACAGCTTTTATCACTGCTGCAGTCCTAACAGACTGAGGGCGACCACTTCTTGACATGTCATCTACACTAGAGTCTCCATTGTATCGTTTGATGCTACGATAAACGAATCTTTTGGTTATATTCAAAATTTTCAACGATGCAACGCAATAACTGCAACACGGTCTTCTTTAAGCGTCCACTCCATATTTAAACATCAGTAAAATTCTAAAAAGTATACATTTTTATTTTCATGAACAATTCCGACTAAGAACGAGATTCCAATTCAATAAACTTTTTTGTGGCCAGCATTCTAAAAGAAAAGTTTTTACTGTGTAACAATACTTATGACCTGACTGTGTATATTTAGTGTATGTAGTAAATTTTATAGTCATCAACATCCTGGTATCAGGTATTTTAAGCATAATCTGCTCGAATTATTAATCGAAAGGGGAAAAAAATACTATATAAGTTCCTCCTGAAACTTTGACCGAGTTGATTTGAGACCGAGAAATAACACCTACACTTTTTTCCTACTATCTGTTTAATTTAATTTAATTCACTTTTTAAGTGACGTGGCTATTGGAGCTCTCATCCATACTTTCTTAAGTAACCACAGAAGACCAGCGTCGGACTGTCTACGACATCCGACATAATGCTGAGTGGGCTGCCTTTTTAGTGACGCAAATGATTTTAATTGGGTATAATGTTTCATGTATTATTTGTGCCACTTAATAAAACATGTTCTTTCTTTCTATATAATTTCTTTTCTATTTTATTTCTTTCGAATAAAATAGGGTCGAAACTTACCTGAGCAAATTCGCTTATTCGTTGTTTGTCATTTTGCAATACTTCATCCATTGTCTTAGTCATAACCTGATATTTGTAGATAAGTTCCGACGTAACGTTAACCTGAAAATTTTAATGGTTTCTTTATTCATACAAATCCATATCCATACTAATATTATAAATGTAAAAGTGTCACTGTCTGTCTGTCTATTACCTCTTCACCACGTTTAAAAGGCTGAATCGATATAGATGAAATTTCGAATAAAGATAATTTGAGTCCCGGGAAAGGACATGTTAGATTTTATCCTATAAATCCCCTTTTAAGAGGGTGAAAAGGGGGGTTGCAGTATGTACAGGAATACAGTTTTTCCAAACAGACGAAGTCGCGGGCATCCACTAGTCACACATAATGTAAATCGCTCTTAGATTTTGTTCGATTGGCCTTCATTGCAGCATTATGCAACAGGAAAACATACGGTTCTATTCTAGTGCGTTTATTACTGATAACTATATCTAGGCTGGGAGGTAAGTACAGTTGAACCTATAGAGCAACACAGCCGATGCGGCCAGGAGGGGAGTAGGCATTCACAGCGTTCCCCTCTGTCGATTTTACCCGCTAATGGGCCAGCTCAAAAACAAAACTAGTTGCGCGTGGGATATTCCATCCACTATACCGAGTCAAGTCGCGCGAGTGTATTTTAGAGATCAAAAATGACAAAATGTAATGTAATTTGCTGTAAACATATCTAAAATATTAAACTTACAAAAGGATGATGTTAAATTTTACACATAAGTAGAATTATGAACATATTATTTCTTTTTAACTACTTTTAATCACAAAATTCATATTATTTTGTTAAAATTCAATCGTCGGACTACTTGTTTGACAAAACAATCGACTCGTCAGTACAAATTGGAGATGTGTCAATAGAAAATCTCAAGTTTCATCTATGCCCGATTTAGCTCTGTCACTTTTTATGTGTGAATGTCGTAATTACAATTTTTACGAATGTATGTTAAACTGCATTTGTTATTTGCATATTCCTCCCCCCACAAACAAGGGTAGAATGATTTCAGTACCCCTAGCACGAACCAATATCGAATTCGTATCGTTTGCGAGTCCGAACTGTCATTGTCAAATGTGTACTGATTTTTAGTTCCCGTTACGTACTTTGTGGCGCTGCAGTTCAAGTTTCCATACAAAATTTGACATAGATATTTCGGTTTGTAGACTATTCGAATTCGATCATGGTTCGTGCTAGAGGTACAGTACCCCTAACACGAACCAATATCGAATTCGTATCGTTTGCGAGTCCGAAATGTCATTGTCAAATGTGTACTGATTTTTAGTTCTCATGACGTACTTTGTGCCGCTGCTGTTCAAGTTTCCATACAAAATTTGACATTGACATTTCGGTTTGCAATCTATTCGAATTCGATAATGGCTCGTGCTATGGGTACAGTAGTATTATGTCATTATGGCTACTCCCCTCCTAGCCACGTCGATTGTGTTGCTCTATTGTTGAACCTTACACGGGCTACATTGTGAATACTGTTGGCTAATATAGTCACCCAGTGGCTTAAGCTTTTAAGTTAAGATAAAAAAAAACATTCCCATCATTCCGCGAGCTTTCTGATTTTCCTTCGTTTGCCCTGAGTATATATCTTAAACTGTTTTCATAAAACATTTTTAAACAAAAGCTTGTAAGAACATGCATCATCCATGACAGACCCACCATACCCCTAGGGATACCAATGGGGGTAGGGTGGGGCTGAACCATACCACCGTTGTAGTGCTGGGATTTTATAGAAAAATAGAATAAAAATAGATACCTAACAGATACAAATATTTAGTTTATTTAAAAAAACCGAAATCCGTTCTGGCAAAACCTAAAAATATAACATATACTTATTTTGTTATTTATATTAAACAGAAAAACTTAAAACATGTTAATCTATGTTCTTAATTTGTCTAACGCATGCCCAATGGTCATTTAGTTGTGCACTAACTGCATTTGGACTTCTGTTATAAAATCATCATTAATAAATTGTTCCGCTCGACGTTTTTTAGGAGTAACTTTTGTTTTATGAATATTGTAAAGAACATTTAACATTTACCTTATATAAGAAGTCTAAATATCAAGCTAGGTGAAGTTGAACTTTAAATTACCTATTGCTAGGGACAAAATACTTGAAATAAATACACGATAAGATTATTATTGAGAACAATCAAGTAAAAATGAATTATAAGTACATATTTATACTATGTCGTATGGGATGCTATTGACACCAGGTATCTACGTAATATTCGGAAAAACAAAACATGAAAGCATATAGTGCACAGCACTACGGTGGTATGGTTCCGTCCCACCCTACATCCGGGGGTATGGTTAGGGGTATGGTGGGTCTATCATGACAACATCGATACTTACATTGTTAAAATCAATAGGTCTAAATAAAATTTCAAGAAGTAGGATTTCATTATGATGGTTTTTTTTTCTATTAAAATTTTCTTTAGATTTATATATCTAACAGTTAGATGCATAAAATAAAAATATAACAAGATCAAAATTAGTTTACGGTTTGTTTCTATTTTTCTTTTAGCTATAGTTAATAGTTAATTACTCCGTCATCAATGTTTAAAAAAAAAGTATAGTAATTTTGACCAAATGACTTGCTTCTATTTAATAGGTAAGTGTACGAAGAATTACACCATTAAAATTATATTTTAAAGTCATAAAGGTTACAAGATTGTAAAACAAAAGTTTTGCGTCACAGAGGCGTAAATAATATGTAAAATTTAAAAAAAAGGAAAATTATATTAAACTACTAAATTCAGGGCATTAATCATCATAATTAAAAAAAAAGTCCAACTTGTTGTTTCTTTCCATATTATCATGGCTGTTATTTCCGGAATAAGCTGGTTAAAGTAATTTATTTTTATAAAAACACATAAATTAATATCCAAGTATAAATTAACACGCTTTACAGATGTTTCAACGTCAATGATTTTTAATTGTGTGAACAATAAACTAATTTTGATTTGATTAAGCTTGCCCATTATTTTGGGAAATGTGGCCTAACCTACTAACAATCATCGTGCGCATGCGTAATAATCTTATGCATGCGCATCGATACACAAAGAATGTCATTTCGCGAGTGTAAGATACAAGATGCGCGTGTTTTGTTTTGCGTGTCATGGCATACAAGTATATAAAACCTGGCCTATTTTTATCGCAGTGTTTACAAGGTGACGCTGTACCTAGCGAATAAACAATCAAAGCATTTGGCCTATTAGAAGGTAAAGAACACGGACTAGAGTAAATTTTTTTCTAATGAAAATCGCCAAATATTAGGAATGCGGGGAGGATAAGCTGATTTCTGTACCCGTAGCACGAACCAATATCGAATTCGAATCAATTAATTTGATCTCGATACGCGTCAAATGTCAAGAAGTTTTGAATGGAAATTTGAACAGCGCCACTTCGGACGTAATGAGAATTAAAAATCTTTATCTTGACGATGTTGACAAGAATACTTTCTCGCTAGTTGTTCCTGCTTGGGTCAATGATTGGACATATCAGTGTAACGTTAACGGTTGGATATCGAATTTGATGAAATGATTCATAGCGACGTTTGGGGGTAAGCGTCAGAACCCCTGGACCAAGTACGATATTTCATGTTTGGAGACTATCAAAATTCAATACCTTTTTGATACTATTTGATACCTACATTATCTAGTACCTCGACAAGCACTGAAAAAACATGAAAAGAAAGTGGTCAGACATTTTGACGTCAGGTTGTCTGGACCACATTTTTTTCACATAGAAACAACTTATCTTAATTATTTTGTGTTTGTAAATATTCAATACCTTTTTAATACCTTAACAATTACATATTTTTCATATTTTATAGCGTTCCAGTAAAGAGTTACGGATGAATGAAATTATACTATAAAGATACATTCTTCCATTAAAGAGCAATAATAAGTAAGTAGTGTTCTTATTAAATAAAAATCAATATAAGGTAAAAAAAATACATAATAAATCTTTTCTCGAGTAAATAAGGCATTTAGTTAATAATTTAGTTAAATCAAATGTTTTATTTGCACGAACACAGTTTACAATGGTCTTTTTATATAAATAAGTACAAGTGTTTAGCCTGCTCGCAGTCATGCAAATTTTATGAATTAATAAAAAGCAATCCCTCTTCTTCTAATACGAGATACAAACAGGGAAGCCCGTACTTGTAGTCGCTGATATGGTAGAGCAGGAATCTGCTTGACGGTGCTATACTGGACCTTTTTTTTACTGATTTTCCGAGGGATTTACGAAATACATCATCGTCAGCCTATTAATATCCCCACTACTGGAGCACATACATTTCCTATGGCTAAAATAGGGTGCTTTGGTCATGACCCACGATGCGATTGGATGCTACCGATTGCAGAAGCAGTAGGAAAATAATACATTTCGGTCACCTATCCTAAGATCGCCCATAACGAAAGTTGTATGTGTAATGCAATAATTAACAATAACGCTGTGTAAAGCAAAAAGTAATGAACGCTACCAAATAAATACAAAGCAAAATGGCAGATAAGCGGCATTGTGATGCTTTTTGGGAAGGTTTTAAGCAGTTACTCGTAAATATATTCATTCCGAGGATCCGAGCGACTCAAGTAAAATAATGGATTTGATAATCTCTAATTGATTGTGACTCTAATTGATGCTGCCAAAATGGTTTTCGGGATAAATTAGTTTAATATTGAAAATTAGCGACAATCTCACACATCATTTCTGCTGTGTATGCCATAAAATAAGTTTTGCTTCCTACAGAATTTCTTTATTTCAACCGTATCTTTTTTCTCGAACGCCATAAGGTGTGAAAAAAATATATTTGTTAAGGTATTAAAAAGGTATTGAATATTTACAAATAAATAATTAAGATAAACTTGGAATGTAAAATTGACATTGTCAACTCTAACATATTGAATTTATTTAATAGGCACGCCCCCGTTAAACGTGTGAAGCTTAGACATCGTCTGGCCCTTTGGCTTACGCCTGCTATTAAAGAAGTGATGGTCAAAATGACAGAGCTAAGAACCGATGGAAATGACGACAATTCTAGTGCGTTATAAACTTCTGCGTACCCGCTGTAGTCGTCTGTGTAGAGATGCCAAACGACGGCATTTTCACGAGTCGTTAACAGGTAAATCGCCCTCGGATATTTGGAAATTCCTGAAGTCCGTTGGCATAGGTAAGTCACATGATCAGGGTGGTGATAAAGTAGACATTAGTGCTCTAAATGCACATTTTGCTATGTCCTCCACGCCCCTGGATGGCAACATCAAAGTAAACACCTTACGTCATTTATCGGACTCCCCTAAGCCCTCCTCTAATCCTTTTAACCTCAGTCCCGTTTCCGAAGATTCTGTGCAGAAATCCGTTTTGGCAATTTCGTGTACTGCCAAAGGTAGCGTTGGAATCTGTTCCAGGATGGTTTCCCTTATTCTTGGTGAAGTTATTCCTGTTCTTACCCAAGTTTTTAACTTTTTCATCGCAAGCAATAGGTTCCCATCAGTTTGGAAATGTGTTCATGTTATTCCTTTACCTAAAATCACGAACCCTCTGTCCTGTTCTGATTACCGTCCTCTCCCCATATTACCATTCCTTTCAAAAGTCCTTGAACACCTTGTTCATAAGCAGCTCTATCTCTGCATTTGTTGTCCAATAACCTATTAAACCCATTCCAATCCAGCTTTAGGCCGGGACATAGCACCGTTATTGCTGTTATTCAGGTGACTGATGATATCAGGCTTGCTCTGGAGAATAAGTCCCTCACATTATTATTGCTGCTTGATGTCAGTAATGCTTTCAATGCTGATCTGGGGGCCAATCGCCTAACTGGATTGCTTTGGAAAACGCTATCGCTTACGATTTCATTTTGTTATTTCTAGCCGCCTGAGGTTTTCAAATGCCTCGCGCTCTTTTTTTTTCTTTTGCATTGGTAATAACAATGTTAAAGAAAATGAGCGTGAGGTATTTGAAAACCTTCGGCGGTTAAAAATAACAAAATGAAATCGTAAGCGATAGCGTTTTCCAAAGCAATCTGGTTAGGCGATTGGCCCACTGATCTGAGACTGATCCCAAAGTATCCGAATAAATGACAATCTCTCGGACAGATGCACATTATCTACGGGAGTTCCTCAAGGAGGCATCTTATCCCCGCTACTTTTTTCACTTCTTATCAACACCGTGACTAAATCTTTAAACTGCAGCTATCATCTCTACGCCGACGACTTGCAGTTGTATCGTCATTTCCCCGTTTCCGATGTTAACGGGGCTGTATCGGCTCTGAATGAAGACTTAAATTGCATACACAACTAGGCTTAATCGTATGGGTTGCGTGTAAATCCCTCCAAGTCTAAAGTTATGATAATAGGAAGTGCTTATATGACGAAAGAGTTGGATTTGAAGTTGCTGCCACCCGTGGTATTTGATGGCTCAATTATTACTTTCTCCCTTACTGCCAAAAATTTAGAGATCACGTTTGACAGCAACTTGAATTGGAAAGCTCACGTTAACGAAGTCAGTCGTAAAGTATTTTCCTCTTTTCACACATTAAAATCTTTTCAATACTGTTTACCGATTGAAACCAGAATTTCTTTGGCCCAGTCACTGATTCTCCCCAGTCTGGACTACCCAGGCGCCTGTTATCTGGACATCACAGAGGAACTTTTGACTAAGCTCGAAGACTACAAAATTTGTGCATACGTTTTATTTTTGGACTGCGTAAATATGACCATGTTTCCAAATTCAGAACACAACTTAAATGGCTTCCTATCCGTCTTCGTAGGAATTCCCGTATCCTTTTTCTGTTATTCAACATTTTGCATAACCGTATCCTGCGTATCTTCGTGACCGCTTCCAGTTTGTGCGACCTCTGGGCGTGCTCTGCAGATCACACGTTCGGACTCTGCTTAAAGTACCTTCCAACCATTGCCGTACCGACTTCTACAGCGACTCCTTCACTGTTTATTCAGTGAAGTTGTGGAATGCCCTGCCGTCAGAAATAAGAGACATCACAACACTTCCGCTTTTTAAAAAATCAGTTAAGGAATATTATCTGTCTTTGACATAATTTTTTGTTTTTTTTTCTCTCAGTTGAATCGAATCGAAACTTCTTGTGTGTTCATTTATACATTTATTTGTATATGTTTATGTATTTATTATATATTGTTTACATATTTTTATTCATATAGTTGATATGCATTTATTTTATATTTTTTATTAATATGTTTTAGTGTAGGTACACGCGACATGTATGCCTCTCAGCATAGCTCCAGGTGGGCTGGAAGAGATTTATTAGAGAAATAAGCCACACCTTTTGTACATAATTATTTCAGTATCTTTTATGTATTTTTATTTCGTGTACGATAAATTATTAAATAAATAAATAAATTGTCTCTAACTATGTGAAAAAACTGCGGTCCAGACAACCTGACGTCAGAATGTCTGACCACTTTCTTTTCATGTTTTTTCAGTGCTCGTCGAGGTACTAGATAATTTAATGTGGGTATCAAATAGGTCTTGAATTTTGATATTATATTTTATTTTTTATATCGGATATGGTCCAGTTGGGCCCCCCAAACTTGCACAAGTTTGTCACAACCGAGCGCCTCCTAATACTCAATGGACTAAAAACAGATATCGCAATAACGCTTCCGATATTATCGACCGATTAGTAGACCTTCAATTAGTAGAAACTTCACTGATTTATGTAATATTTTGTTGTATCTAATTATAATTAACATTAATATTGTTTGTTTCACAAATAAGTAAAAAAGGCAAAAAAATCCATTGCATACTTTGATTTTATTAAAGACTTATTTGCCACCATCATGTACCCAGACTTTTTAAACGAGGATTGTTTTAATTTGTCTGATATTTGAGTTTTATTAAAATTAATTAAATAAATGGTTTACGCATGATTTTGTTGTAATAAACATCATAAAAATAGCAAAGCATGACCCTTACCTGTTCCATCCATGACGGTGTCATTTTTCTTCTAGGAGGTGTCTTCGTCTTTTGGGTGCTGTCGTAGACATAAGAAGTAGGACTCGACTCGAAGGGTGCGTCTTTTTGCTGGAATTCGGTTTTTAAAGTGTCGTTCTGTTGAGAAATATTTGATCGGACCATTCACAATGCTAAATAGAGAAATTAAGGTATAATGGCGATTTTTTTGCTATCGATGGTCTCAAATTTTTAATGTTGAACGAAAATAAGTAGAAAAGCAAGCGTAACGATATACGCGCACTACAAGATTTATTCGTTGCGACTTTTAAAGTACGAAATAAAATCGAAATCGAAAATAATTCCTACGCGCACTACCATTTATTATCGCCTACTAAATATCAGATTTTTCCATATTTAGGGCCTATCTCAATATTGTTGACATCGCTGGTTTCGGCGGCAGGTGGCGTAGGTGCAGAAATTTCGACTCATTTACGTCGACATAATCAAAAATCACAAGTCGACTGACCGCAATGCGCAAAGGCAGTACCGCTTCATATGGTTCAAAGAACATACCTACGTACGATTTCGCATCTGCTTTTTTTAAATCGCATGCGATTTATTTTCGCAGTGCGCGCTTGCCCTAAGACGAATAATTCAAATGAAATGAAATGAAAAGTCATTTATTCAGTCTAGGTTGTTACAAGCACTTGTGAAGGTCAAGAAGCTACGCCATCGGTTCGCAAAACTACGGCGGGAGACCTTGTACTGAGAAGAACCGGCAAGAAACTCAGCAAGGGCTGTTTTTTCTCCCTGTATTTTTATATACAGTGTCGTCAAGTTGAAAAATGACTTAAAATTAGCGATTTATCAAGATCATGAAAAGGAGAATGCTCATGGATGTATGGACCGCCGTACAATGGTTGCATCAATACCAAACAAATGTTAAATGATCGTTTAATATTCAAATTAGTATGACAAATTGGAATTTTGAAAATAAAAACAGGGGTTTTAATGTTATTGTAAAAAATGTGACATAACCTCAAATCCTTAATAACTCCTATTTAAAGTTGGTTTACAGCTATTTTGGGTACTTTTTTATTCTGTTATTTTTGATCAACTTGAGTCTTTCACTGTTTTTCCAACCTACTGCATAGATTTTCATGACAACACAGATTTCAGTGAAGGCAGATTTACGTATAGGTAAATAAAAACATTAATATAGGACACTTTTTATTAGATTACATATATTAATTGTACACATTATATTTGAATTACCAGTATATTTCAAATCAACATAATCTTCATAGAAAAAATAATCTAAATAAGGCGCCAGAGCAGTAACATCATTGTAACGACCCCAACTTAAAAACTGAACTACAGTTATTATGTGGTCCTAACAGCCCACAGGTTGTTTACCAACGAGACAGCTGCAATAATAACCTTTTATAGCCTCTAATGTGTCTGCCAAAGCAGCATCTCTACTGATAAGTAAATATGAGTTATATGTTACTTGCGTAAGTGTCAGGAATTAATCCTACCTCTTAATAATTATTTAGGCCTAAAACAAGAGGAATATCATCTACAAACAAACAAATTCAAACAATTTGTAGCTTTTGTCTTACAACGTTCTAATGTAGCTCCTGGATTATTGAAAAGAGTGGCCAATCTTTCGTTTTTATCAGCAGTTCTTAATTTAACTAAATAAATACAAAAGGCTATAGAAGCGTTTGGCACTTGTTCTGCTAGATTGGTATACAGTTGAGCACATTATAAAACTGTTCAGAGTTCATACCAAGTCAATAATGACATAAATGAGGAGACATAATTGAAACATTAGAAAAATCTAATTAGTAATTGGCTGATCGCTGTATCATAATCATTATATTATAAAACTGTGTGCCAGTAAAATCTCTTAATTAAGGTGTTAATTCATTCCATGAACCATAATTCAAATAGTGATGACAAACACATGCACCAGCTGGTATGCACAATTTATTATTATACAATAAGAGATCCCTGATGGTAGATGAAATAAGTAGACATTCAGGCTCTAAACAATTTGCAAATACACAGGAGAGTTAGCAGCATGTATGATGATGATGATACAATTTTTAGAGTCACTTGTTGAACTGCTTCTAGTCTTGGTTGTGGCAGAGGAGGTGGCACAGGTATAGAATGATTGCCACTTAATGTAGTATCTCCAAGAGTAAGGCGATTTGAGTCATGTTGTTGTTGCCTTTGTACTTGTTGAATCTCCAACGTGCAGCACATACATGTTCCATTCTTGAGATCTAAAAAGATAACATTAATAAAAAATGAATAATTAATATGGAAAATTCCTTTCTGTTTATTTTAAGGAATTTCTGTATTCTCTCATCATCTATTACCTGTCTAGTGATAACAAAACAAATAAAATAAAATCTAAATGTTACCATGACTACTACAAACATCTTAGTTCTGGATTTGTAATTAAGTATGATATGCAATAATAATACACAGTAATAATAGTTTTGTCATAAGATTGTGATAATAAATGATTCCTAACTTAAGTATCTAGAACTGTTATTACTTTTTTAAGAAGTCAAACAAAACAGTTAATATATATTTCATACAGTTAGTTGCACATGACATTAGACAAACAATATTAGCTCACCTGAGTAGGATTTATCCATGACTGTAATATGTTGAGGGCTAAACTGTTCTTCTACAAAAAAAAATTAAGTATCACCTCTTGGGCCCTGGAAATACAGTTTTACAATACACTGGTTTAGCCAGTCAAATAGTCTAATCGTCATCGATTCCTCATTTGAAGTAGAATGCGTGAGTAGAGAACACTACAAACACACATACGGTAAATAAACGTCCTGTCGTGAATGCACTGTTTTTTTCCTGAAAACGTCTTGCCTGTCTTAACAACTCAGAAAAAAAACGTTTGATACGTTCACACGCAATCATTATCACTTCACAATTTATGTAAAAAACTCAATCAACACAAAAATAGGAGTAACAACAATTGACAATTCTCCAATCATTTGCAATAGGGTAGGGTGATGATGATCTGAAATTGAATATACGAATAATCGATGGAATACAAAAAAAAATGTTTTTGTATATAATCGATTTACGCAATGAATAGATCAAGTCAGATACAAATAAATCCAGATTCAATTAATTAATAAACAGCATAGAAATAAATATAATTACTAGTTACTACTTAGTTAATGATGAAGTCGACAGTTAGGTGAGCGCCCTCTATAAAAACAACGATTAAAGATTTCCGCGGAATTAACCTTCTTTAACATTATTAATACGTGTCGAATTTTTAAACTTAGATTCGAATACCACGGCTACACGTTCCGTCTTACCTAAGAGCATGCCTGCACAGATTAACTAGCCTCTCTTTGTCGTCATTGTCGTCCGTCCCTCTCTAACTTAGATACTTTTATGGACGTAGAACAGGACGCGGCACAAGCCAATATACAATCATTGTATTTTGCGTTCAAGAATAAGGCCTTTTGACTACGTAGGCAAGACAAAGCGCTGGGTAAGCACGTGCCTCTTTTTGTCCGACTACCTACATGCTCGACATTTTATCATTTTCATCTCTATGCTTAACACGTTACATCCAGTAAGTAGACACTACATACAGCAAGAGACGTGATAGGAAAGTATCTAGTTAAGCCAAGCGACGGGTTATTGACTATGACGTATTAAGCATAGAGACGAAATAGATAAATGACGAGTTGTCATCGCAACAGTTAAGACAATAAAAACGTAAAATCACTATTAAACAATAATTAGTAACACGTGATTTATTTGCTTTTTGATGGCCCACTCATCGGTAACAAAAACAACAATCGATTATAATGTATAACTATTAAGGTACTATGGCATCACTATTTTTACGATAAATAAACAAACGTCAGATATCCGGCTCAAAATATAAACAGTACTATGACTAATATTATTTTAAAAATTATTCCCTGTTCAAAATAGCCATTCTGATAGACCATCGTACGTATAAATTAAAGAAAATAATTATCATAATAATTTTATCTTGAGGCATGAGACAAAGCTGTACCAAATATGGGCATTCTCCTTTGACGCATTTACTATATATCTGACGTGGCATTAATTATAGTCAGATTTTACTATATGAAACAACGCGACCTTAGGCACGTGTTGTCATTCTATTGTTGTCGCAGAGCAACAATATCGTGTCGTAAAGTTAATTGACTTCCAGTTTAGGTACTTAAGCACCAATTTCTAAAGTAATGTGAGGCTTATAGAACAATAAAGTATTATTATAATTCTCTCAATGCAGCCGTAAAACTTTAGTTGGTATCAAACTTACATTAGTTTGTTTTGTGTTGACTTTCTTGGGGTCGGGTTCCTCGATGCTTCCTGATTCAGTCTTGAAGAAGGAAGAGTAGAACGAGGAGTGGCTAGACTCGCCGTCAGTTTTGTCGATTATTTCCTCGCTGGGCTTCACGGCGACCGCCTTAGATTTGTCGCTACAACCAGGGGCTGGGATAGAGTCTCCTTGTGACGTCTGTAGACAATACTCGCTTCTTAGCACCGATTGGGTACTTACTCGATAGTGAAAAAGCGGTACAATTCCTACTAACTAAACTACTATGCGAATACTTTCTTCATAACATATAGTAAAATAACGGCATTATTATGGGTATTTTTTGTGATAGAAACATTTGAAGTAATACTTTTTAGGGACATCCATTACTAAATATTTATAGTCTGTCAGCGGCTGTGGTTATCACATAACCGAAATTGCTGAGGCAGTTAAAAAAATGTTTATTCATTCCTATGCATTAAGCTTTTGAGTACGATTAATCTATTTTTTTTTTTGCTGTTTTAGATCGACTTTAGCAAGTCGTATTTCAAATAGTAAACTGCTCGTTTACGAGTCCTATTCTGTTTAAATCATTAAATTTTTGAATGTCTCTTATTCAACATAATTGAATAATTCCGGTCGATAATAAAAATTAAAACACTTTTACACTTCTTTTCATATTTTATGCAAGGCCTTAAGTCTGACAATACCAATTTGTAATACATATACAATACCAACTGATTTTTCCCATATAAGTAAAAATAAAACAGAAAACATATCACATATTTGAGACATGGTAAACTCAAATAAATCTATAAAGTACAAAATCGTGTATCGAAAAATTTAATACTTAAAAATGTAAGATGAAACTTTTTATGAAATCAATACAGTATAATAAAAAAAAGAGACAGATTTGAGGTTTGTTTCTCAAAGTATGAGCAGGAATAACATCAAAGTAATAAACTACTAAACATGCAATTAACATAATAGAAAAATAAATATTACTACAAGTAAGGTTTTTTAATTAAGCGAAATACATGAATTTGGGGTTTATGTGAATTTGTTGTACATGCACTAAACAACAAAAAAAGGCAACAAAATCGAAGAAACATACAACATCACACAACAGTATGATTTTGAATAAATTGTTGGCCTTAAAAAATACTTTATGAACAAATGTAAGGTCACCACTGTGTCCTAAACTTAGGGACTAGGCTAGGAGCTACAAGTCAGCTACCTAGGCGCGTCGCTTGCATTGCAATGCAGCGAAATGAAATAGTATGCAATACTAAATACATTATGTATACTATGATTAGTCACCAAACAAGAAGTTTGGCTTTTAAACGAGGCTGTTTACAGTGTAGCCGAACAAAAGAAAGCTACTGTCAAAATTTAAACATTCCAAATTAGGGAGTAACGCACTATGACGACGGGATATCGGCTCGAACCAATCAGAAAAAAATATTACAACCATGTTCGAATGATACAGGTCCAAAAATCGTATCCTGCGATAAAGAATTTTAAATATGGGTAAAAAGGGCTCACAATACAACCTAAGATATACGACTTAGGGTTAGGGCTGTTTCTATTTTACTATTGCCAAATTAGACATTTTACACTTTTAATGGTGTTAGTTTTAATGTCTGTGCGCACGCCTCGAGATTAATATTCGGTGCTAATTAGTGTGCAAAATTTAGTGCTGTATAATTTTATACAAAGTATGTTTAACGGTACGATATTTTTTAATAAATTAATTATGTTAAAAATTTAAAGCTCAAAGCCGATTTCGCGAAGGCAAGAAACAGTATTAGGGTTTCACATTGATAAAGAAAATAATAATCTCTTGGTCCATTCGCAAGCATGTAAGTAAGCACGTTCTCTCCGTCGAGATATGTGCGGTATCTGCAAAGGACGACACTGTAGTAATATGATAATAAAAAAATCACTTTATACCGCATGCTAACCATAAAATGGAGATATTGTTAACAGTAAAATAGAAAACCCGGAACTGTAAAAAGTTTCGTGTTATTTTTGTTATTATTTTTTGTTACTTACTTCTGGTTTTTTGTTATTCCCTTGGGCGAGGGAATTCATATCTGGCTTGTTCATTTGGCTACGGCCGTAGAGAATGTTTGAGTATTGCATTTGTGACATCATCGTCTGTTGCACCGGGTACGACACTTGCGGTCCGAGTGCGGAATACACGATGGGTGATCCGTACACCGCTTGTCCGTACATCATGCATTGTACTGGAAACAAGAAATACTATGTAGTTGTTTTACGCATTAGATGAGATTAGAAAAAAATCCACGCGGATCAGGTAGCAGAAGGGACTCGAACCCGTACTCTTCGCTATCCGGACGAATGCACTGACCATAATGCTACCGCGACCCTGAAGGCCGTGTCGAATTTTCTCTAGCGTTTTCTATTCGTTCATTGTAGGCAACCCACAATGTCAAATGAATACCTTTACAAGTATTAAACAAATACTATGAAACCTTATCTATTTTAGGATATTTTATTGCGTTAAAATAAATTTCGCCCGAACAAATCGGGCATATCGCTAGTACTCTAATATTATAAATTTTAAAGTCAGACTGCCTGTTTATACGCTTTTATACTAAGCCCTTTAATCAAGCTTAATGTGTTTTGATGGAGATAAAATTGACCTTAGAGGAAAGGCATAATGCTATTTTTGGTTTTATTATTTAGTTTGGTTAATTTATTTTAAATAGAACTCATAAGGCGCATCATAAATATTTTTACAATCATTACATTTGTTGCTCAATTAACATTATCGGCCAGTTTCAATAATCAACCACCAGTAAAAGGTAAAGTTAATCAGATTCCGTTTCTTAGCAACGGATGCTATTATAGTATTAATTATAAAAATATATTAGAAATAAAGCTCAAGGAAGTCTACCGCTTACTAGAGTTTGATTATTGAAACTGGACGTAAAAGGATTTCTATGACGAAAGTTTCTATGTAAAAATATAATATTTTTCAAAGGTTAAAATGCAGACACCTACTAGTATGCAACGTGGTTATAAAAAAGTAATATGTAACAGCTACAACTGAATCAGTACGCACCTGGTATTCCCTGCATGGCCATTACTTGCTGAGGTATCGCGGGGTCCACGATAGGCACTGGCTGCGGTATCCCAACGCCTAATAAGAACGTGTTCGTACTGTTAACTTGGTTGTTGTACCATTGCGTAGTAGCTAAGAGAGAACAAAGGTTAGATAATCAAACAAATGTAATCTCTTTATAGACCAAGAGCTACTGAACCCTCCGAGTAACGGTTAAGTTTAAAGAAAAATGCCAGGCGTTTACGATGAGCACAAGTACCCGCCAGGTGAACTGGAAGGTGTGTAATATATACATAAAAATAAACTTTATTCTGTAAAGTTAAAAGGACATTGAGTAAAAATGTATGGACGCTGCACCCACGACCGCCACGGCTTAAACTACATTTGATTGAAAGGTATAATAGTCCCTTTTACGTCCCGTTTCATTAATCAAACTCTAGTAAGCGGTAAACTTACTCGAGCTTATTCGGGCAGCAGATGACGCACTGGAACAATTTCCCAATGCAGAATTGGTGTTTTTAGGGTACTTTAATGCTCATCACAATTTGTGGTTAAGTTCCTCCAAATCCGACCATGCAGGGATCTCTGCTCAAACATTCACGCATGACTTAAAGCAATTGGTTGATCAGCCCACCAGGATTCTAGATATTCCAAGTCGAGCGCCTTCTTTACTGGACCTTCTGCTTATGACCCATCCACAAGGGCTATCAGGTTGCGGTAAGAGCCCCTCTGGGCTTGCCGGATCACTGCCTGATATCTGCCAAAGCACCACAGGCCAAGTCCCCGCGTCCAATGGTGGTCAAACGCCGTATCTAGCACTATGGGTCGGCAGATTGGGACGGTATGCGCGCCTACTTTGCGTCCGTCTCGCCGCCGTCCGCAGCGCTGCTTCAGTGACAGACACCTATCAGCCAGGGCCGATGCTATTACTGAGGAGATTATAATAGGTATGAAATACTATATTCCTAATTCTGATCACATCAGTAAGGGCACACGTAACCTCGGGTTCAATCGCGACTGTGCTGAAGCTGTTTCGCGAAAGCAAGCGGCATATCGTGCTTGGATCAGAGACTACGCTCTTAAGGATCCCGAGGTCGATTCACTAAAAGTTGCCTACAATATTGCTTCCAAGGCCTGTAAGAAGGCTGATATCAGAGTGGATGCCCTGCGAGTTGCACGTGTAGGAACTTATAACGCATCCTACGGCCTCCCGTAGTTATTGGCGTTTGGCCAAGGCCGTGCAGAAGTACTTCTGCCAGCCCTCACTGCCACCTCTGAGACTGGGTATCTCAGACTGAACACTAGCTAGCTGATTGGGACGAAACACTGGAGAATGCCGATTTAATGGCAAATCTCTTTGCGGCTAACACCCGAATCGATCGATTGCTATGCACTGCCACCATCATTACCTCATTGTGGCACAACAATGCCTAATATTAAAATCAGGCAGCGTGAGGTTCGTGCCAAATTGCAATCACTCGACGTCCGGAAAGCTAGTAGACCTGATGACATCCCTGCAATTGTACTTAAAAAATGTGCAGCAGAGTTAGACAAACCCGTGCTCACGCGTTTGTACCAAAGCTCGCATTCTTTGGGGCGTGTGCCGGAGACTTAAAGAGATGCCAACGTGCAACCAGTGCCCAAAAAAGGGAATAGTTCAGATCTGGCATACTACCGGCCAATAGCAGTCACCTCAGTATTATGTAATGTCCTAGAAAAGGTCATTAACAACCAACTGACCTTAAGGATCTACCTAGAGGATCACTTCCTGATTAATGATCGTCAATATGGTTGTCATACATGAGCGTATTAGGAAGAAGTGTGATGAGCAACTGGCTGTCAGTTCAGTCAGACAGTTTGGGCTTCGTCCCGGTGTGGGTACTGATTCAAAAATGTAGAGACATGAAGCAAGATGTGTTCATGTGCTTTGTCGATTACGAAAAGGCATTTGACAGAGTTGAACACGATAGACTTATCGCACTTCGGAGAGACATTGACCTTGATTATAAAGACATAAGAATAATTCAGAATCTTTACAGGAACCAGCGTGCTACAATTCGAATTGAAGGAACAGACTCCAAAGAGGAGTTAGACAAGGTTGCATCTTGTCCCCTATGTTGTTTAATCTTTACTCGGAGGCTATTATGGCTGAAGCGCTTGAGGATATCAACTGTGGTATTAAAATCAATGGATGCATAATCAATAACCTTCGTTATGCCGATGACACAGTACTTACAGTTTCATCGGAGACAGAGGATTTTCGAACGCGTGAATGGGTTGAGTAAGAACGCTGGCTTGAAGATGAACATCAAGAAAGCCAAGCTAATGGTTGTGTCCCGTGATGTCGACCTGAATACTACGGTTAGAATATCGGGTCACCAGATAGAAAGAGTCACCAAGTACAAATATTTAGGCGCCTGGATGACTGAAGACTGGGATTGTGACACTGAAATAAAAACCCGCATTGAAGTAGCCCGTAGTGCCTTCAATACTATGAAAAAAGTGCTTACTAACCGTGGTCTTCACATTACACTCCGTACTCGGCTCCTGCATTGCTATGTCTGGCCAATACTTCTATACGGATGCGAGTCTTGGACTATTAAAATAGAGCTCAGAAAACGTATAGAAGCATTCCAAATGTGGGCTTACAGACGAATGTTGAAAGTTAGTTGGACTCGAATAGTAACAAATGATGAAATCCTGCGACGTATCGGCTTGAAACGCGATATATATATACGCGAATCTAGGGCACGTGATAAGACACGAAGGGTACGCCCTTTTACAATTAATAATGATGGGCAAAGTTGCTGGAAAACGAGGCGTCCGTCGCAGGAAGAAGTCTTGGTTGAGGAACCTACGAGAATGGACTGGAATCTCGAGCGCCGCTGAATTATTCCATCTCGCTAAGGATAAGGAGACGTATGCTAAGCTGACTGCCAACCTTCGCTGTTTGGAGAGGCACTAGAAGAAGAAGAAAAATATGGTTTTAGACCGAAACGATCGACGGGTTATCTTCTAGCATACTTGACTCATATCTGTGGTAAGGCTATCGACAAGCGTGTCGAGTCATTGGCATCAGTTTGACATTGCCAAGGCTTTCGACAGGGTCCGGCACAAAAGCCTTCTCTCCAAGCTTCTGGCATGCAGACTGCCGTGCCAGTTCTGTTCCTGGGTAGCTGACTTTCTGCATGAGCGTATAATTCGTTTCCTTAGCAGTTCGCGGTTCATGTCAGTGAATGCCGGCGGTCCTCAGGGCTCCGTCCTATCCCCCACTCTCTTTCTGCTACATATTAATGGCTTAATTCCTCTTGGGAATATTCATTGCTATGTAGACGACAGTACAGTGCATGCAGGGTATCTCGGACAAGCAGCGGCTGGACAGGCGGTAACCAAGGAGAAACGGGAGAATCTTGTCATTGAACTCAATCAGGCTTTGGACCAAATTTCTGAATGGTTTAACAGGAACATCATTAAGTTCAATGCTAAGAAAGCCCAGGTCTGCGCTTTCTCGGTAAAAACATCGCCATTCCTTTCATGTTCTTCTCTTCATCACTGGACAATACAGGCGGCGCGGCATCGACGCTATCAACTTTCAGCAGGTTTCAACTGAAAACGAATTCCATTCTTCCAAAAACGAGTGTTTGATAGTTCCTTTTTCACTTGGTACCAAAGATGTTCTATCGGATTGAGATCTGGGCTGTTTGGGTGCCACTCTAGTACAGTTACTGGTTTACTGTCGAGGTATCTTTTTACAGAGTGCAGTATGCTTCGGGACATTATCGTGCTGGAACCTCCAAATAGCCGGCAGATTGTCATTTGCCGGTTATCGTTTTTGAGGTATGCATGTGATCAGCAATATTATTTCTCTAGCAGTAGGATCGCAAGATTTATTTTTTCTCATTTAAATCAAATAAAAATGCAGAAAACGTATATTCTAACAATAACAGCGCGAAAATGCAATAAAAATAGTAATGACAAACATCGCATTCCTTTTTTTAAATGATATAAAAAAGGAGAAAATATTTTCTTTCTTAATTATTTGTCCAGCCAGTATTACGACAATTTTATGAGTTCCTATGATTTAATAAGTAGGCAAATAAGAAGGTACATTATTTCGACTATTACATGAATAATGCAGATCGGTCATAAGAATACTACAACACTAACAGAGTATGTTTAGTAACGAATCATGCACTGTAATTATGGTCAAAACATAGTATTGGCTTAGTATTATTAAGCGTTCTTAATTATATGACCACCACTATATATATATAAATATATATTCACCAGTTGATGTAGTAATAGTAGCGGAGGGTTGCACTTCCGCAGAGCTTGTTGTATGCCGCCGACGTAGTTGCCTCGAGTTGGAACAGTGGTGTTTCTGGTCTCCATTGTCCAAGTCCTTTGGTTTGGAAGTTCTTTTTACGCCGTGCAGCTATGAAAAGGTTTCAAATTCAAAATATATACCAAATAACTTAGAAATTTTCGAAAGAATAAAGATGAACAGTATAAACGAAAAACCAGAAGTAGGTATATAATTGAATATATCTTGGGCAAAGAGGAATAAAAAATATGTTATGATTTATACTTCAGTTTATAATATACATGATGCCAGCACTTCACTTAGACATTAGTCTGTCCTTATCATTCCTTATAAAGCATGATAAGGACAGACTGTTGTCAAGTTTAGAAATAGCAAATACGAATAGCCAAGTAAAATGCCGGCATAACGTTTAATATTTAGTTTATTGCCATATTTTGTAAGCCATTGGATAGCACTGTTTGCTAACAACAACTAAGACCACATATATGCTGAAAGGAGGATTGGTACATTTAGCAATGACTCATATGTACTATTAATATTGCGAATTTTAAAGTAATTTGATTGCAAAAAGTTTCGTAAAGAAGTAATTATTGGATTATATTATGTTTGAGGTTTTGTTTATGCTGAAATGACGATGCTCTTTTGTTTCACTGTGTGACGGTAATGGCGGGGTAAAGTAAACGAAATCCGATTAAGTCCGTCAGTTAGATCATAAAAAAATATAGTTTTTTTTTTGAAAATTATAAAGATAAAGGTCCGCCAAAGGTTGGGCTCGTGATGTCACTTCTAAGTAAAAACTGTACTAAGATGTGACGTCATGTGATATTTCAAATCAATAAATCTCTGCAACGTTTGATTATGTACAACTAAAAAAAATGTGATAAATACTTTTTGATAATCTACCTGGTAGACGTGGAAAAAAAACTAAGTCATCACCCCTATTGGCGAGGAGAGAAGGGATCGTAAATAAATTTCATTCATTCATTATCAGCTTATTAATGTCCCCACTGCAGGGGCACAGGCCTTACCTATGAATGGAATAGGGTGATAGCGCCGTGACCCACCACGCGGGCCCAGTGCGGATTGGTTGGTGCTAACGACTGCAGGTGCAGCCGGGACCAACGGCTCAACGTGCCTTCCGAAGCACGGAGGAACTTCATTTCTACCTTATTCTTGCTCGTTTCTTCGGCAATCACCACGGTGGTGTCCTGATAGCTGGCGTTGCAACGCGCCAGATGCTCCTTCTTCTTCTGCCGTTTCTCCGAGCTAATCTTCTCCCTCTCTCCTTTGGTACTAGGCCTCGTTTCGCGGTGTAACTTAACAATTTCCTTCTCCATTTCTGCGTTGTGTCTAAAAGAAATAAAATAATTAAAGCAACTTTTATTTTAAAATACTGGAGTAAAATTATATATAAATATTTTATTAAAGAATAGTTTAACCAAATACTTCATTAAAATGAAAATTTAAAAATGTGTTACAATACACTATTTTCTATTTTCGACAGACACGTGAAAATCTATGTCTTAAGGTTTTTTTCAACATCCGTTATGATTATCAAGGTCACAAAACTCTTGCTCCTCTCTCTACCGAACCATGCTTAGATTTAGATATTTTTAAATCTTAAATTATTTGTGATTAAATACCACTCACATGTTGAGAAGCGACTCTGTGAGCCGTAAAGTTTGGTTGTCGCTTAAAGGACTGACTGGACTGCTGCCCCTCACTGCGGATCCGCTCTCACGGGAATTCGTAAGGTCTCCCACGTCGCCACAGTACTGAGTAAGGGGCGATGAGCCGTTCCTGCAATCGTAGAAAAGTGCTGGAATTTACGCCGACCCGCTCATTTCGCCATCAGAAGAAACGCTTTCCTTTAGCTTCTAAACTGCTGCAGGTCATTTGATTCGCTTTTTTGACTGAGGTCTTTTTTGACACTATTCTCTAAACCCGAAACTGCTGCAGGTCATTTACTTCGCTTCGATTTATGTTTCATTCACTATTGAGACATGAATCGAATATACTTTGACAGGTGTCTACTCGATATACTGCATAAAACTAGAACTATTACCAGCCTTTTACAACAAAACAGAAAGATAAACTCGACTCACAGATCACATTTAATAGGTATCAAAAATATGAATTTTTTAGTGTTTATTATTAGTATTTATTTAAGCCGTCAATAGCTTACGCTCAATCCCTATTTTCATTATCTACTATGAAGCGTTTATCAACTACATAAACCTTTTTAACAAAAAATTAAACCACCGAAAATACTGAAAAGCAATGATTAAGTATTTTTTTTATCCAATCCAAGTAGTAAATGGAAACTCAGATCTATCAGATATGCATGGAACTGACTCCAAATATTAATTTGACTAAAGATAAATAACATTTTTTATTTTTTGCTTTTTAGTATTTTCGACAGTTAATTTTTTTTTATATATACACAACCCAGCATCAGTGTTGCCATCAAGTTTGATAGAGTTGCCGTATTCGATATATCAGATTGCCGTTTTTTTGAATAAAAATCATTGCCGTTTTACTTATTTTTATTTATTAAAATTTATAGGTAGTAAGAATAGTAACTACATATATTATAAAGGAAACAAAAAATATAACCTACTCATTTATGTCATCGCTATACAGATTTCTAACAGACTCAACTATTTCGCTTTCCTATTTATTCAAACAATATTTGTCCTTGTTTTTAATTTTCACACACATGTCACGGGATGGCTGGACAGTTTACTTGATTTCTGATGGCTTGCTTTGTCAAAAGAGTTGTATTTACAGTTTCAGTAACTAATTTAAAATTTAGTTATACTGCACGGGGATTCCCAGTAAGGATACATTCTCCGTGATAGGGATGTGCCTTAACTACAATTTTATACGATGTATTATTGAAATCGTAATTAACTCATAACATTATCCTTGTAAATCGATTCATTCAGAATTGGTTTGCCATATATTGTTATATGGTAATGACAAACCTGCCGTATGCCGTATAATCTGAAATTATGAGCTCGAATTGCCGTATATTACGGTAATTGCTGTATCAATGGCAACGCTGCTCGGCATCAAAATATGTGAGTAAACAACCACCCCTATTTTCCCACCATTAGGGTAGGATTTTTGTTTCCAAATTTATGTAGGACCAATTTCGAGGTATACTTTAGGTATACACAATAAAAAATTAATCATCAAAATTGGACTACTCTGTAAAAAGTTTTGAATGGTCATATATTACAATCAGTGAGTGAACAATCTTCCTACCCTTAGGATCGGAATTTTGTTTCCAAATTTGTATGGGACCAACTTCGGAGTTTATCCTTTCCAATAAAAAAAAGAATTATCAAAAGCTGACTACTCTGTAAAAGGTTGTGGGTGATCGTACATAAAAAAATATACGTGTCGAATTGATAACATCCTCGGTTTTTTTGGTCGATTGAAAAGTGACAGAAAACTTATTTCGTTGAACAAAAGACAACTCAGTGGCATCACTTTTATGATTGTATGGTATTTGATATTTTAAGGGGATATTTGTGTTGATTAGGATTATTTTTTGGTTCATGCATGTTAAAGAGTGCTTATTATTATTATTTTTATTAGGGAAATAGCATTCCTATATTACTAATCGATTTAGATTGAGATCTAATTTCATTAGATTGAGCAGAGTTTTATCTTCCTATTTTGTATTTTGCCCTACAAAACGGGAAAACAACCTTGTGCACACAGGCACACACCGGCGTGACGTAGGTACCTACTCCATTTTTCATACGATGCAGGTAATTTATTTATATTTATTCCATTAATTTATACAACAAATGGAATTAACTAGATTTGCGATATATTAAAGCAAATTTATCAATAAAATGTATTTGTTTATTAGACATGTTTCATAGATAAATAAAAACAATTCTGAATTACATTCTTATTACGTGAAAAGGATGAAAAAATACATACTAACTGAAGATTGTATTTAATGTCACTCAAACAAAATTTCTCACATATCGCAGTCTTACCCGCGGATCCCATTGAAAGCGAGCGGTGCTCATATCGCCAACTGGTTAAGCCAAGAGAAAATAATTTCATTATTATGCAAAAGATTGCGGTTTTTAGATTTTACTATGGGAAACGAGACCAAGCAAAGCAAATTTTTAAAAAAAGCAATCAAGAGAGATTTCAAAGGGAGCGCCCGTCTGGGAAAGACTACCACCACCAAGAAGACCACCTTACAAAATACCACAATGAAATAACACCAACTTTGGAGTTGAGTTTCTGGTGTTTAAAATGCTTCCGTTTGTTCAACAATTACGTTCGAGCCAGCAAAGTAAAGGCTCGTATGCACTAAGAAGTATTAAATTTTCTTATTCCATTACCCGCCACCAACGAACGTGCATAGGGATGCCTGGAGTGGCACACTTTTTTTGAATATCAGATAGGGTAACGTATTTTTTTTGTATGATTTATTTGTTGGAAGATTAACAGACAAATATCAACCATAACTATTCAAGTTGAATCAAACAATGCTATTTACAAATCTTCACAGTAGCGTCTTATAAAAAAGAGTGTCAAAAATCTATTTAAAACACCTGTAATCTTTTGTATATGATTGTTAATAATGGAAGGCTTTTCAAAGGTGGACATGAGAGATTACCTTGGAGACTACTGACACTAGAACTATCTCGTATGAAAAATCGAGAAAATACATAAATAAAAATACATTAAAATGCAGATGAAGAGATGTTATGTAGGGCCATGTTTTAGAAATTATTTCAATGTGAATAAACATTTGGACCATGGTTTAGTACAAAATTATTTTTAAAGTACTAAAAATGTTATTCGATTTACTTAATTATAAATTGCTTGGTATTCTCTGGTTAACTATGTTAAGGGCTGTATAAACTGTAGGCAAACAATGACTTACGGTGATGAGTAATGCAGTTTAGGATTCTTCAAGCTTAATTTGTATTCTCCTGATACGTTATTGTAATCCTCAAAAGAAAGCGGTTGGTGGCTTTCAAAATATCTAAGAGGAAAAACAAAAACGACATTTAATAGGTGATAATAGAAAAATTATGGCGTCTACACAATCGCGATTATAATAGTTAAATTATTCAACGTCCATTTATTACCCAGCACCAGCAAGCACTGCCTCGCTTCATAATAGAATATAGTGAGAACTGATGCACACGGCATGGGCCACAACAGGGTGTGTACATATGTATGGCTTGGCATGTAATTTTATACAATTATGTAAAACTCAAACGTCGATTCCATTAAGTCCATTCATCTCATGCCTTTCCAAAATATGGCTATGAGGATTATTGATCATTTAACACATTGTATAGATCTGAGACTTCAGTTTGATCGCTCTATAGTCATTGTGAAAAACTGCAGCTTAAAAGCTGAGTTTTCTTACCAAGCCCATTTATAAAGAGTACTGTGAACAGTTTTGAATTATACTGACATATATCAGCTGAGTATAAATTCAAGAGAGTGCCAAGCCAAGAGGCATGGGTGATAACTGATTGAAAAGAGACTTCTAAGTCTTGAACATCGGCGTAAAGTAGATTTCTATGTTTGTAATATGACTACATTTTTATGGGTGTATCCTAGTGATACAAAATGCGTATCTCCATTCCAGCATCAGACTACCAGATGGGGCGAGTAGTTGATGTTCCAAAGACCGAAACGAAATAATTTGCTTCCAGTTTTCTTGCTAGAATATGGAACAAACGGTTTTTCTGGACTTTATAGTTTCGGTTCCTTTAAGACAAAATTTCTTATTAAATTGCTATTAGGGCGTACTCTATCTCCAAGAATAAAAATTCATTATGCGAGAATGGGGACTAAGAAGTCCCCGTTTTCTCATCCTGACAGGCGAAATCAGAGAAAAACGCGCAAAACCCAGAAACTGGTTAAAGAAACAAATGACTAGAAAATTGTAAGACGTTTTGTGTAAAAAAGTTATTGCAATCAGCCGCAAGATACAGCAGCAATTAAAAGCCATAAGGATAATTGTTGCAACATGGACCTGAAAAAAAGACGGACGTAACATCAAACTAAAAGGATGTGAAATCGTGCAAGGTCCTATAATTTCGTTTGTTGTACACTACCTAAACTCACACAAATGCACCAGGTACGACAACCCGCTGCCATTTGAGCCCGCGTGACAGCGGCAGTGACACGTTCAATTGCTCCTACAAATAAAAACAAATGCCGTTTTGTGTGATGAAATCTTATAAACAAGGGTAAACTGAAAAATCCACAAGGAATCACCTACCATGCGTTAGTAATGACAAGTCGTGACAATTTATCTCAATTATATTTTATTCAATATGATGAAAATTCTAAACAAAAAATACAACTATGTAGCTACTTTTTTTGTGTGGGAACGTAGGGAAATGACAACGCCAGATTCTGACCCACCATCTACAGTAACAATAAATTTATGAAGAAATATATACGATTATTTTTCTAGTACTGATTTAATTATTTCTTTGTATAACCTGCGGATACGAAATAAAAATTAAAATAATGTGTACCTACTGTTTCCGTTAGGGCAAGAACGAAACCATGACATATACGTTATGTTCTTGAAAACTATCGTTCTCTTTTTTAACATTATGGATCTAATACGCATTTCGGTTATAAATATAATTAATATATGTTTTTAAAGAAGTTTAAAAAATCTAGTACCTTTTACTTTTTATGCGCACACATTATTAAATGGTAGTACTATGTGAAACTAAACGCATTATTTACATTCACTCACGATTAGACGTAGTTACGTCCGTCTTTTTTTTCCGTGCGTTGCAATAAGTGGAAACAGTTTATTATCTCCCTAACATTTTCGACAAATACGCCATCTTTTCTGCGGTGCCCTCCATTTTCTTTTATTTCACTTTTTTCCTTCGCCAGAAATAGAAACCACGTCGTTTCAATAGAAAATATTGTCAGTTTTATACAGCTCGAAGTGTGTATAGTCTGTTCCAAACGAATTTAGACCAAAGACAAACACACTTTACCTCTCCATTCCCACACGCAATGAATCACTAAATGGATTTATCAACACATTAATTTGCATTCCTAGGGGTTTGTCATATTAATTCACTATCTTTTATAGCACAAATATTAACATCATAAATGAAACTCGTCGAAAAGTAAGGTTATTTTGGCAGACCTACAAGAATAAACAGTAGGGGCGGTGGTTTTCCGATTTGCTTCAAATCAAGATATAGGCCAGTAATGATTGTGTATCTGTGGCTTCTGCCGCCCCTCAAAGCTGGTTTTTTGTAACAATAACATTCATTTTATTATAATTAAGGTTTCTTACTTATTTATGGCGGAAAATGCAACACAACATGCAATTATAAAAAGATAATCGTATTCGAAGAAAAAAAGTATTAGATTCATGTAGAAAAACAGAACAGGGAACTTTCAGGAAAAACTAGAGATCTCCTGTAAAATCAGGAGACCTGGCAACCCTTCCTTAGATTAAAACAATAGAGGAAGATACGGTACGCTCACACTAGCATCAAATAAAATATGATCGGAGTCAACTACATAAGCAAGCAACTCTCTCACTCACACGTCTCCAAATAAACATTTAATCGAGCGAGCGAGACAGAATTGTACGCTTCAACGCAACGCGAGCGAAATGGCGAGTCCGCTTCCGAGGTTGCACGGCTGAGCTGTATTGTTGTCCTTTTCTTGATAACAAAATGACGCTTACGTAAAAAACTCTTTCTTTGATTTTGAATAATTTGTCTTCCGTTTTTGTTTTAATCTAAGGTTGCAACGAAAAGCCTATTCAAAATTAATTCAATTGACGTTAATAATCGATTAAATATGTGTATGGTGATGTGCTAAATATTTATCTCATTTTTATCAGTAATCCAACATATACAAAATTTATTTGTTTGATATACTTAGATTTTTTTTTATAATAATAAATATTATTCAAATTTGTATAACAAACATAAAAGCTGACTACTGTTGAACGAAGTAACAAAACTGAATGCAGGACGTTCAACAGGATAATGCTGCGAGCTCGCTAGCAGACGAACCTAGATATTTAATAATTCACGCAAACCAGATCACAAAAAAGAGTTTTATTAAGTAACGAAATATGGTAAACTCTATTGCCAAATACAGTTAAGCCAGAGCTCGTTTTAAAGTAAAGACGATAATAATTTATTAATGTTACAAATTAAGCCTTATAGATTTTAAACAATTTTTAAGAATAAGATCATTCAATTGTGCAATTGATTTTGATAAGAATCCTCAACACTAAACTGTATATGGTCTGACTTAAGCTACCTGTTTGTTAACTTTTGGTCCAAATTCATTTGAAACAGACTATAGGGTAGCACAAGCGGGGATTTATGCATTTACTCGAGCGCGGTAGATTAACATAAGGGGGGCCACCTTGCATCGTTTGAAGTACTCACACCATATCTGAGCCCTCTATGTAGAGACAACCGTCCAGGGCAGCCGAAAAAAAATTCCAACAATCGGCCATGTCTTTTGGTCGCGTCCAAATCGTCAGTCTTTTGAATAGGAGCTACTACCCTTTGTATGGTCACCTCCACACTTGCAAACAGGCAGATCAAAATTATTCGTCATCAGAAAAGTTACGTGAGCCCTCTAGTAGCTTTTACTCAAAAGACTAACGATTTGGACGCGACCTAAATACATAGTTTAAAAAAATTTCGGCCCTAGAGGGCTCAGGTACGGTGGGAGTCCTTCACAAGATGCAAGGTTGGCCTTTCCCCCCCCCCCCCCTCCCCTATTTATGAATCTGCCGCGCTCGAGTAAATCCAAAAATCCCCGCTTGGGTAACTATTATGTTTTTTATCATGGTACTTTTATTTTGATGTTTACTAATAGGAGAACCTTCATTTAAAATTGAAAAAAATCTTAGCATGTATACAATTGAATTTAGTCTCAAAATAAAGCTTATATTATTTGCTACATAAACCAAGACATTACGCATGTATCGAATGCTGGTCGAGTGCATAGGCGTACAATGGACACTGAATAACAATTAGAAGAGCTGTGCTGCTATTCTGTAAGATCAAGCTCATTCACCTTAGAATCCGCGGTACGATTTAAAATTGGCATACGAATTAAAAAAAAAAAACAAGTCACACCGGCGAATTCCGCGGTCAAAAGTGAGTGTGTTCTTACAGAATAGCACTGCAGTTACTTTATTTCAGCTCAACCAATAACCATTCATAACTAATTAGAGGAGAAAATACATACGGTTGACAGAAACAACAAGTGTTAAACCGAAACAATATATCACATAATACAAACCTTTGTAGATTATTGTTGTAGTTAAGCTGATTGTAACTTGGTGTGGTTTCTGTGCTGGACTTGCTGTCATTACAGTCGTGGTGGGGGGAAATACCGCCCAACATAGAATCTCTTTTCTGCACAAAAACCGTAAATTAACAATTACAATTCAACATTACACAGAGGGTAAAACACTACCATGCAAGTTCGTCGCAACTAAAAACAGAATAAAAGTGATTATAAACAAATTAGAGGAGAAAATATATAGATCACGAAATATAAGTTGGTTACTAAAATGAAAACTGCTAATGAACGAATGTCTAATCAAATGAGGCTACTAAACTAACAATCGTATTAGAGGAAAAAGATAACAGACCACAATAAAGCCGGACTTTCGTATGGTTAATTTTTATAGTGCTTACACGTCACCTGGCGTTTCGTATTTGCTATTTTTATTTATTGTAAATTTGACAGCAAGTTGTCCTTATCATACTTAATAGGGAGTGAAAAGGAGAGACTGTTGTCAAGTTTACAAATAGCAAAAACGAATAGCCATGTCAAGTGCCGGCATAAGATACTAGTGATGCCTCCTGGCTTTGGTGTAGAATATATGTTTTTGTTGACGAACTTGTATTAAACCAGGGTAACATCATCTGAGTATAAAATTTTTGAGGCGAAGTAATACGATTTAAACTATTCACTTGCAAAGTGGTTTCATATAATCACACCAGTTTTTCTAACTCCTAGTACTCCGCGAACATATGTACAAAAACCACTTTAAGGCCCACTTACACCAAAGCTCTCAAATCAAATTTTAAAAGCTTATATGTTAAAACATCATTCTATCTCTATTTGACTTAGAACTTGTGACTAACATGGAATGATGTGGTCAACAGGATTAAGCCTTATTTTTTTTTAATACTGGCGTAAGTAGCCCTTAGTATAATGTAATATATATTAAACATAATTACATAATAGCTAAGGTCCTGATCATTGATTTCTAGGCGTAATTCGGCATCAGGTGTCGGTTGATCCTCCATAAGCCTTTCCATAAATGAGGCAAGGTCTTGGCACCGTTTGCTCATTTGCAGTTTCGCCAATTTATCTGGCTTGGTTAAAACCTTCGAAAGATATCAATCAATTACAAATCAGTAACGTTACAAAACAAAAGTAACCTAAACAAAACTACATGAAATGTTTATTGTCTTAAAATATGGCGGCGACATCTACACTCTCCACATATAACTAACCCGGAGCAAGGCATTATGCGCCGCCACAGATGGCACTATAAGTGAAGCGCTCAATGATGGCCATAAAAATTATGTTTTCAACAAAAAGTATAGAGTCTGTTTAAAAGGTTCTTGGAAACCATCATAGGTTAGTACTGTATTTATATACTTCATTGAAAGTCAATATTTTGCATACTTAGCGCGGTCAATTTAGACATAAAAATAGGGATCAAATAACAAAAACCCCGACAGAGCCAAATATTGGTGGAGACCTTTGTTTTACCCTTATGAATAAAAATTTAAAAGTCCCCATCAATCCCATGCGAGCTTCAAAAGTTATGCGGGGCCAAATGTCAAAATTTTAGGTTTTATGACTTTTAAAAAAATACCTCAGACTAAAATTGTAGATCTCAAAATTCTCTACAAAAATGGTTCTTATGATATTTTCTCTAAGTATCACCGTTCCTGAGATATCGTGATTGTGAGAGTCACGTACTACATAATATGCACACATTTGTTACATGTATACATATTCAGGTTCTTAAGCAAGCAAAAATACTTATTTGTGTCTCTTTTATGAATAAACTATATACTATACTAGCTGACCCAGCGAACTTCGTACCGCCCCAAAAAAATAGGGGTTGTCCAGCGGACAAAATTGTGAATCTAAACCATTCTCAGATCCCCTTGAACACACACAAAAAATTTCATCAAAATCGGTCCAGTCGTTTAAGAGAAGTTCAGTGACATACACACTCACAGAAGAATTATATATATAAAGATTATGAATATACCATATTGAGAAAACATATAGTTAAAGTCAGTCCCTTATGTAGTGACGACTGCCAGTTTAGGTTAGATGAATTAAAGAATGTTTGTCAAAATGTAGCTTTAGATAATAGAATTATAAAAGTACGGTTGAAGTTAAAGTCCATACTTTAACAATCACGATATCTCAGGAACAGTGAAACTTAGAGAAAATATCATGAAAACCATTTTTGTAGAGAATTTTGAGATCTACAATTTTAGTCTGAGGTATTTTTTGATTAAACTTACCGTTTTTGAGAAAAAGTCATAAAACCTAAAATTTTGACATTTGGCACCGAATAACTTTTGAAGTTCGCATGGGATTGATGGGGACTTTTAAATTTTTATTCATAAGGGTAAAACAAAGGTCTCCACCAATATTTGGCTCTGTCGGAGTTTTTGTTATTTGAATTGTCTAAATTGACCGGACTAACTGTTACGAATTTAAGTAAATATCCAATAATAAAGTTTCTCTGGGCAATATGGCGGCTTACACACGTGGGACGTTACAATATCAAGTTTACAAATGTGTGACTTTATACAAATGATCAAATATCTCTTTTTTCAGATTAGAAAGTTTTGGCCTATTATGTCGGCATAAAGGTAAATAAAGTAAGATCCCCCCCTTTCCCAAATATTGACTATTAAATTAACCAAAGTATGTACTTCATTCATAATTTTGACGATGTTATCACGCAACGTGTGTTGATTTTTTTTCTTATCTATCGGTTGTATATCCGTGTCAAACGGTTGGAGCACGTCTGGATTGGAGGGTCCCTGAAAATAAAAACGTGCATTGATTAAAAACTGGATGTCAAATACCATCTAATAAATTGAAAAAATAGTACTAGTACAGCCAAAGTATCCTACAGCGATGGGCTACTATAAACATCATTAGTGGATATGATTTGATATTAATTTTGTACCGTTAAAAGTAATTTTTGTATTGTAAGTAAGACCAATGACATGTATTTCCTCAATGAGTCATGGCGATATATTCTGTAAGAGTAACGAAGTAAGTATTATGTGCATTTACAAACCTATTTAAAATAACAATTATTACCTCTAAAACATGGTGTTTTGCAATAACGAACTCTAGTTTTCGCGACCACGGATTAATAAAGGACGACCACTCCGATTCCAATTTGATAAAATCCCGATTTTGAGTCTGCATTCTGTAATAATTGGTTATTAGTTTACAATCAATGCAATGAAAGTATGTTGAATAACTCGTGTCATTAAATATGAAAGAAGGAATCGAAAATGCAATACATTTTGTCTCTCTCCTACGTTACTGAGGATAGCAGAGGGACAGAATCTCTTCCTTCGTCATTTGGGATTCATTTCTTTAAAGACACTAGTTATAGTTGCAGTTCTTTTTTCCATCATCATAAGATTTTCACATAGGAACTCATATACTGTGACAACACAAAGAGGAAGAATTATTAAAATTCCATGTATGGCAACATCAGAGAAAAAATAACTGTTCCCGTTTGCTTTTAAGTGCCTCAAGTAGTCTATGGGATAACGGGATTGGGTCAATATAGGCAACGGCAAAGTGATATTTTTTGTATCGTAAGCTACTATACCTATAGGCTATGGTATCCGCATGTTTGCCACCCTTTTAACATTAAAAAAAATAAGTGATAATGATTTTCTTTTCTTGTCGAGCCCCAATTTGTCAGAATGTTTGCCAGTTGGTAACCCCATACATACCTGAGTGTTGTGTCTTTACATTGTTTACTACAAATTCACTCACCTATAGGGTTTGGACCTAGCCAAACCTCCTTTCTTGACTATGGTCTCGTACACATTCGTCAAATATACGAGATCATTCTGGTGGTAAAGCTGCAATATATCTGTGCCGATTATATCTTGAGGTATGTATCCCAGGTAGGGTACAGACTCTGCGTCAATGTACTCAAGGTTGCCGTTGGCAGAATGCCGCATGACAAAGGGCTTGGCTCTAATTACGATCTCATTCGGTTCTAGAAAAAAAAATATAAAATAAGCAGTTGCTGTAGCAATCTTTTTAATTATTAAGAATGATGTTAAACATTCTGTTAGCCTTTACAATCGTTTTAGGTGTATATATCAATAAAAAAATATGTGGTTATCCTTTAAGAAAAAACAAACTAATTTTGTATTCTTCAAATCATTTCTGAAGTTTGAAAATATATTTCTAATATTAAATTTGAAAGGCGCTTGGCACAATCTAAAAACCAAAAAGATTAACAAACAGAAACCTTGACACTAAAGATTTATATTACAAAATATCTTGTACGTAAGTAAGCATCAGTAGGCACGTCAAAATTCTATTAGGTATAAAAGTTCCCTACGCAATTCCAGTTCACGAACAGAATCACAGTTTGTTTTTTCGGCACTTTTACATCATGTTATGGTATGAAAAGCGGAATATTTTGCTTAGGTACTTTGTTTTAATTGTAATACCAGCAAAGTTTGCGGTGGACCCGCACGGAAAGGGTTTCGCATCATTGTGATTTAATATAACTAGGACAAGCTACAACCATCGCACACTTGATCACGTTTCTTGTATGAAGACATTTAATGTTGTGATTTATTTCCCCCAGTTATTGTTATAAAAGACAGTGGAATCATTTTTTTTAACTGGCCATATATTACTTATCGCAAAGGGTAAGTAATACGTTTTTGTTATCAAGCTGTAAGTTCAGAAATCTAAAGAAGTAGAAATAAAATGTATGCATAATCCATCCACAAAATTTGTGATCGTCGCAAAGCTTCAGGCATCATTTAGTTAAACTACTCATTAAGGTTTTCATCAGTAGCAGGAAGAATTTCAATCGCCGTTTACAATCTCTTTAATCTAACACATTCATTCATCATCAAGTTATCCATTACACCTTTCCATTGATCCAGAAATCTCAAAAAAGGTTCTAGGTTTGAATGAATTATTAAATTATAAAACAACTTCTTGCCTTTGAAAGCTGAAAGGAGCGTAGTGGCTTGTACGACCAAGTAGATTACATCACCCGTTTCGTCACTCACGTTCTTGAAAGCCAACTTCAAGAGGAACGGCATAAACGTCACGTTCCGCTCTTTCACTCCGAAGCCTGACGTAAGCCCTCTGTATCGACGGATCCGACAAACCACTGTCGACATCGGGCCAACTCGTGTTTCAACTAAAACAGGAAAAAATCGTCTCAGTTAGCGGGAAACTCGTCGCTCAAGCCCGCCAACTTACAACGTCAGCGTACGCAGCGGTGAATGAAGTAACGTCACCAGCGTCATAATTTCATGCTCTCCCGTTTAGTCCAGTCAACAAGTTGAAAACGTGAAAAATAGAGATAAAGCTCCTAAAAATATGAGCAATAGCTAATTGGATTTGGAATGACCTCTAGAAAAAGGAGTTATGAGAATTTTACTGCACGTAAAAAATTGCAATTGTTATTAACAAAAGAAGATAAAAAAGAGGGATTTACTTTTTTGTTAATAACTCATAAACTATTAATATTTAAGATATTTGGAAAAAAGGTCCTTAATGAGGAGGAAATTTCCGAAAAAAAAGTTTTGTTGACTGGACTACGTTTAGGAATACCGTTCGATTTAATTTGACTATTTATGTAGCTAGGTTTTTTATACAATGTGAATTTAGTTTCCATGCATCGTCGTGCTAGAGTTTGGTGTTATCTATCGGGTAATGACTGATTAAGATAAGCAAACGTGCTTCACAAGGGTGATTTACAAACTTTTGAAATGAAAACAATAAAATACTAACGTACAACCTCTTCAAGCATTTCTCTACATACTTATTTCAACATAAAAACTACCTCTTTATATTTAACGAATTGTATGTGCTTGATTTTATTAAGGTTTGAGTAATATTTATAAAAATATAAGTCTTGCGTCGCCTTCAATGTGTAGAATGAACTGTTCCTATAGCAGTCATGTTCAGTAATATTTAATTTTAAGTCAATTATTTAATTATTGTATTGAATATTGCGAAACTGACAATAATGGTACATAGTTTCGTTACAGAATATGTTTCTTAGAAATCCCTCTTTACTTTTTCAAACAGCTGGACCAGTGTGGAAAATTCTTAATAGATCCGGTAGATTGTGCTGTAGACGGATTCTATGTTTTTCTTTATATTTTTATCTGGCTGTACTGTGTCTATCGAGCCCGCTAGTTACAATATTATAATTTTTATCGCTTGCATTATGTAGCACGGGGTAAAGTAAACTAAAGGCTATTTAGTCCGTCGGTTAGATTCATCATCATCATCAGGCACAGGCCTTCCCTATGGATGGAATAGGGAGATTGGGACATTGCCCACCACGCGGGCCCAGTACGGACTGATGGGTCCTAACGACTGCAGATGCAGCCGGGACCAACGGCTTAACGTGCCTTCCAAAGCACGGAGGGGCTCGAGATAGTGAATTTTTGGTCACCCATCCAATGACCGACCACTGCGAAAGTTGCTTAACTTCAACGATCGCAGCCGAACGCGCTAACCACTTGCGCCATCGAGTTCCTGCGGTCGGTCGGTTAGATTATCAAAAAATAATAGTCACTTATTTTCCTATTATGTCAGTCAACCAAAAAATTACAAAATTAAAGCGCGTCAAAGATCGGTAGTGGGGTTCGTAACGTCACTTCTAAGTAAAATTTGTGTGCGTACTGTTAAATATAGTATATGCCTTTATACACCATTTACACTTGCATTGCTACACACAGACTGCAAGCTCATCATTATCTACTCATAGCCGCCAGTCCCATCCATACGATCCTTAGTCTCGATCCAACATCCTAACCAGACTGTCTTACCAAATAAAGTTGTTCTTTTTTTAAAACTAATCTTCCCGAGGCTCATAACAGTACCTTTAACGGTTGTGGGTACGGCTAGGCCGTTTGTGATTTCCGACGCAAATATGTTTCGGTCCTGTAAACAAAAATATCATCAGCTTAGTGCTGTCTCAGGTAACCTCAAGCTTGAGGGCGTGCGCTACGTTAAGCAGGAGCACGGAAAAGACGTGTAGTTTCATCTCATTTCATAGAACAGCGTTGCCCTTAGTGTGTACCATAAACAGAAGAATGGGAAAATTTAAAATCTTTCACTGGTTTTGAACACCAACCTACCTATATTGCTACTGCTGGGTCACAAGTATGAATATATACCAGAGCAGTCTTAACACATCACGCGAGCCCAAAGCGGCTCACGTATTGAGTACTGTTTATAATACAGATGTAGCCAGCGCCTTGCGTGCTCCTCCGAGCATGAAAAAGCTACAGATCATAGTCATGGTCACCCATTCGTTGACCGGCTATTGTATAAGATGCCCAACTTCCACAATCTAAGACCTACCGCACTAAATTTTGCCATCAAGCCCTATTGGATGCGTATTAAATGGTGAATTCAGCCGGGACGACAACAACGTTGTTACGATATTTACGCTTTGTGGCATGGAGGAACACGTAAGGATATATTTATTTTTCCAAATAATATCAATAATGATGTTCAACTTTACCGGAAGTTGTTTAGCCGCCCCAACCACAGAACGCTTTATTGAGCTCTATCGGTTAAATACAAATTAAAAATTGATTTCACTCACGCTAACATGGATGAAATCTATGAAAGATCGGCCTATCCACATTTTCTTGGGAAACCCGAGCGTAGCAGTCAAAGATGAAGTTGTGTATACTACAACGCCATCATGCATCGATATCACACAAGAAAAACCATCCTGGAAATAATTTAAACTTCAAATTACAATTCTTTTTTAGTGGTTAACTATTGGTTTAGTATTATTATCCAACAAATGTTTAGGCAGACTGATTAGATACTTATTGAAAATAAATTTTATCTTTCAATAAAAGTAGGTATATAAAAATAAAAGCTTTTTAAACGAGAAACATTTCGAATATGGATCCGGCTTCGACTAAATAATATGACAAGTCTCAGTCTCTAAATTTTATTAATTTCTACTAATGAGTCTAAAATTTAACGCTCATTTGTAGAAACTAATAAAATACAGCATTTAGTCATCGTTTTTCCAGAGATTATAATTATGATACATAACCGAATTTAAATCAAATAATTTACGTAACATAGGTACTAACAGACTTTACTGCTGAATTGCCCAAAGGCATGCAGCATGAAACAACCTGGAAGCAAAGAGAACCACACTATCAATCAAAACAAACGCACACAAAAAACAAAGCACTGGAATATTATAAAAGACTTGAAGTTTATCTTGCTGGTTATGAGATTCACAATCGATTGAGATAATTTGCCTTTGGACTTTTTATTCCCATTTGCCTCTAGTGACGATCCCCGCGGGAGCGACTGGGAATAGAGGATAATTTGACACTGTTTGTTAACTGTACCTAAAAGCTAACAGCACAGTAGGCCGAGTCGTTTTATGCCTCCTGAATCGAGAGGTCTTATATCGGATTTGACGATAATGTTTGGTAGGGTTGGGGAAAGTATAAAGTAATAATCCGCCGTCTGTATTTGACTAAGTTATTTCTAGTACAAATTTAGGAAAATGAAGGATACTCAAGGAAAATATTCAAGCTATCAACGGTAGGTAAGTATTTTTTTTTAAATATAGATTCCAAACCTATCTCTCTACAGTCTCGGCATAATGATTAACAAAAAACTACCGGGTAACTAAATAAATGAACTTTATATTACCTCCTCCTTGCTCTCTGTCGTGTCAAGTTGTTCAACATCTGGAGTCTTTACCTCCTTCTCATTTTGAGTCACCTTCTCTAAAGGCGTAGTATCCACTGCGGAAAGAATGACAGACAGAAGATAAACATGAACCTAAATAGGGACCAATGATTAGGTATATCTGAAAAAAAAATAGACCTGAAGAACACACTAGACTATTTATACTTGAAGTGTTTGTAAATACGTACCGTTCTAAATCCAATGTTTTAGCAACCGGATGGATCGAATATCCCGCCTATTCTTCCAGATAAATGCGGCATGCATACTACTTACCTAGTTACATTCATTAATAATTATAATATTGAAAGGCAAAATGGTTTACAACAGCTAAATAGGCAACGGAAAAAAAAACATCAACTGTTTATTTTATTGCACAAACAATAAAAGTGTAGCAACTCAAAGCCCGACCAAAGTAAAAAAACAAGTGAATCATTGCGGGACGTCAGGTAAATGTTAAACACTAGAAAAATTGTAACGCGCCTCGGGATCGAACCGAATTTCTCTTCCTGCTGTCTCTCTGAGTAACCATTAGACCCACGGTGGTTTTGGAATTTGTAACTAGATTCTGTCGGGCAGCGACAAAATAAATAGAAAGAAAAGAGAAAAAGAAAGGAGAAAAATAGGAATAGGTTTAAGAATATATACGAGTATATTTCCAGAAAAGAATATAAAAAGGTAGGGGTATAGTGTATGTGTAGTGTGGGGTGTGAAGTAGGAAGTGGTGAAGTGGGCGTGGGTCGTAGGCAATCTTCTCTGTGGCAGCTTGAGGGTCTGGAGGACGAACTGCTGGCGGACGGGCGGCGCTCCTGGGAGGCAGAAGCGCTCTTGTTCAGGCGTCTCGGTTCTTGGCCTGCCCTGGTGGTGCCTGGCGGGCGCTGCTGGTAGGTTGGCCGGCGAAGTCTTGAGACGACCGGCACTACTGGTGGAACAGCAGGTGCCGGTGGTAGGCGGGCCGAAACAGCTGGATCCTGGATGACGCTGCTAAAGTCCAGACGGCAGTAGGGGTCCGTTGAAGAGGATGACCGTTTAGTGTAGTATAGTCCAGTAGAGAGTACTTTAGAAAGCCAAAGGGTGCTGATTAGCTTCGAGGGCTTTTCTTGAGTCCCGGGGCAGCCGGCCCCGCCCGGACAAGGCCTTTTATTAATTTAGAGCTCGGCAGCGAGCTAGCAAAAGTTCAGTTGGCAACTTTTGCCGTAGAAATGAATGAACGATCAGGGTGGCTTGGCCTTTTATAGGTCCGGAACTGCTTAAATTTGGACACGATTCGAATCGAACTAAAAAGATTCAAAGTATCTGTGGAGGTTGAATAGGCATAGACGTAGTTGGAGAGAGTATCCGTGTCATGGGTAGCCATGGCAACGAATAAAAACATTAAGATGACACAAATGTCAAGAAAATAAATAAACAAATTATATGCCTAAAAATGAATAAAATCGGAGAAATACAATAAAATTAAATAAATAACAGAACATAGAGAATTGCCGGCAAGTGTCCAGCACTCTGGAATAGTGATTTTAGTAAGATGGGATTCTGATACCAATTTACGAAATGATGAATAGTGCGTGATATTTTTGAAATTGTCCGTTTCCAGGAATTAATAATGAAAGATAAGAAAGAAAAGTGTAGAAATATATTAAAAAAACATGCTAACAGATGTCAAAATGTGTGAAATGGAATCTATACTGGTATGGTGACTGCCAAAAACAAAGGATCATCCCTGAGGTACGTTACAATTCTCGTGCATGCATATTATAGCATGCAACACTCAATAGACGCCCTCGCAACCATCGCAATATTTGTTTCACATTAGTAACTTATCAATGACAATCGTTTTCACTGCCTGTCAATAAGGATAACCGCGTGAAATTATTTATTTCGGTGATCATTATCTGGGAAAATTAATGTATTCTCTTTTCTTGAGTAAAAGCGAGAGCGAAATCTGATCTTATCGCTCAGTCAGATTATTAAAATAAATAAATAATTAATTGCAACAATATTGTGAACGTCAAATGGAAATTTACAAAAATGGTTCGTATTGCAATTACTGAATAGTCTTAATGTTAATCGCACAATTATGGTAAATTGATTTCAATAGGTACCGTAGTTTATATATTTGGCTGATAAAAGTTAAACAAACTACATATTTGCATTAGCAACAAGACTGGTTGACTGATTTAACTAAAAATATACGCACTTCGGTAATCTTACGAGTAAATAATATAGCATTTGAACATTAAACTTAAAAATAAATTGAAGTTCAATTATACTGACTAAACAATAAATTAAACTGACTTTAATTAATAATCCTAATGGACAAATATTCAGGAACTCCGAATTGTGTATATTTCTTTAAATATTTTATCTTTAAAAGTGACATATTGTGATTTTTTTTGTAACATTTACTAAAACTTTAATAATGTAAATTTGCATCAAAATTACCAAGATATTGTACATTACCTTATCACATAGTATACATTGGACCTGTTCTAAACTGGGCACGTGGGACCTATAGAATATAATGAAAGATAATCCATTTTGTATAACTAAAAACAAATGAAGCGGCAGTTAAACCTCCCATACAAATCAACAATGGAATATATAGGTCTAAATGCACTATAGCAGTGGGTAGCGTCGGTAAGGCGCGGTGGATGTAGGCGTTAGTATAAAACGCAGCAGAGAAATTAATCATCATCATCAGCCGATGGACGTCTACTGCTGGACATAGGAGGCCTATGGGGTTTTCCATATGCAACGATCCTGCGCTCTCCGCATCTAGTGGGTCCCCCCGACCCGCTTGATATCGTCAGTCCACCTAGTGAGGGGTCTACCAACACTGCGCTTACCGGTGCGAGGTCACCATTGAAGTACCTTGGGACCTCAACGTTCATCGGTTCGCCGAACTATGTGCCCCACCCATTGCCACTTCAGCTTGGCAATCCGTTGAGCTATGTCGGTAGTTCTAGTTTTTCTACGGATTTCCTCATTCCTGATTTAATTTAAGAAACACCGAGAATAGGTCTCTCAATCACTCGCTGTGCGGCTCTGAACCTTCTAAAGAGGCCCATAGTCAACGACTACGACTCAGCTCCGTATATCATCGTTGGCAAGACGCAGTGTTCGAAGACCTTGGTCTTCAGGCACCGAGGTATTTCGGACGACAAGACATCGCGTAGTTCCCCGAAGTTGCCCAGCCGAGTTGGATTTGGTGGTTTACCTCATTCTCGAAATTGGACTTCCCCAACTGGACTATTTGTCCCAGATATATACAATTTCGAGTGTAGAGTTCTCAACGGTTACCGAGTGGAGCTGAACACGAACGTTAGACATAATTTTGTCTTACTTATATTCATTTTAAAGCCCTCTTGTTGAGAGGCTCTGCTGAGGTTGTTGAGCATTGTATTGAGATCCTCCAAAGTGTCTGTCATAACGACTATATCATCGGCAAATCGAAGGTGAGTGATGTACTCGCCGTGTAAATGTCTGATGTAACTATCATGGTGACGTTTTCGTACAAACTCTTTAGTATTTGGATGTACCGATAGTCGATACGGCATCTCTGTAAGGATCTCAACGCAGCCCATTTCTACACCGAATCAAAGGCTTTCTCATAGTTCACAAACCCTAAGCATGGTGGCAGGTTATATTCTTCGCTATTTTGCATAACCGCAGCGTGTGGATGTAGTCTATGGTGCTTAAAACCTTTCCGGAATCCGGCTTCTTTCGGAGGCTGGAAGTAGTCAATCAATTAACGGGACGATTCCTAATGACTCTCGAAAACAACTTGTAGACGTGTCCAGCAGCGAGATGATTCTCTACCCAACTAGCAAAACTATATCGTAAAAAAATCAGCATCACGTTCCTATTTTAGCTGTTGGTGAAGAGCCTATCTTCAAAATTTAGAGTGAGCGATGTGTGCACGTTCTCTCGATACGATTTGGGTGCACATCTCTAAGCTTTAAATGCTATGAATATTTTAAAATTATCGTATAAACAAACATATAGTCGAAAGAATATCGAGTAATCGCAAACTCAAGTGTAACTAGTGCTATGAATTGTCAGTATGCCGTCATCCCACACACTATCTGTTTACAAATCGTTAGAAGCTCTTTCATTCGACTTATTTGTAGTAAAATAGCAGTCCGGTTGCTATCACTTGACTGTTTTTTAATCGCGTAAAAGCTATCAAGCAAGGCTCATCTAACGTTTTATTTATCGTAAAATTAGCCAATATTGCACAAGTTCATGAAAATACAAAGTGAAAATAAATATAAGTAAGGATTCTGTCATTTATATATTATGTCACAATTTTACAGTCATACATGTAATTCAGTTATCTTAAGCTATTACTTCCCAATTCGTATGCGGATTTCATTTTTCGTCGGGAATCCTCATATTTTATGTAATATTTTTATGGGAAGCAAAGCAAGATTTCGTACTAATTAATAAATGACAAATAATATTAATTTAATTGTTGAAATTTACTCGCCATTAATTACAACTTATTTTATCACCACGAAGCGTTCACTCTCCTTTAGCCGAGAGATAGAAATGAGGGTTCCAATTAACGACTTCTAAGAGCGCCATTGCAGCTTACTTAGAGTTTCTTAGAGCAAATTGTTAAATCAATGTTATTCGCTCTCCCACCGCATCGCATCGTACTACCACAATGCACCAGTTATTTATTTTATTTCCACGGATTATAGTCCATTTTCGCAAAACAGAAGCAAATACGGTTGTTGTCTACGTGATTTACCAAAATAGCGTTCATAGTTCATAGAATGATAGCCTTCCAGAAAGCTATCATATAACATGGAGTGCTGAGATAGCAACTACAATGCTATTTTATTGAATTAATTGTCTTTTCTCTACAATATTGTTCTGAGAATTAGTTGTCGAAAGAGAGTGCTGTAAAAGCAGGTTTGACGTCAATTTGGAAATTCAATTGCCTTCAAAGAGCTGTCATAAGACTTATGGTAGTAGACTTATGTCTTTATATAATTGTTGAGTGAATGTAACATAAATCCGTCGAGTAAACGTTTACTAGACATGTGCAATAAAATCCAGAAAGATGCGTTTATACGGCTTTACGAAATAATAGGATCTATCATAAGAGTGTTTTTCGATTTATAGTCAGGAAAGTAATTGGTTATAGGTATTATGTTTTGCTAGTTGATTTTTTTTTCAACAGTTGAATATACTACAAACAATAAAAAGAAGAAGATTTTTCGAAGCTATCATGAACATCATTAAGATATAGCAGAATAAAAACAATACTTAAAATAGAATGAGAAATGAACTACTTACGTGTGAAAATAACTCAGTAGTGCGATTTGACCTTAATACAGGTAAGGATGAAATGCCGCCTAATTCATTTATGAAAACTTTTGTCTACACTTTAGCTATCACCACTACGAAACCATTATCAATTAAAATGATTAACTTGGCTCACAAAATGAATTATCTTAGATTTGTCCAATTAGTGAAAAGCCAAAAGAAATATTACAATTAATAAATAAACTGTTTGATTTTTAATAGCTTAATTACTGTTACATAAAAAAACTCAAAATTCATCAGAAACAACAAAAGATATAATGTGATTAACTTTTATTTAGCACAAAACAATGTAAATTAGAAATCTTATAGTTTATATTTATTAATAATATTTAATTTTAGGTCTTCGGATATGGCGTGCAATATAAGATTTCCCCTAAATATACAACGTCATTAATATTGAAAGGTAAATTTAATATTTGGTGATAAAATAATGGACCTTCATTTGATATTTATGTTTAATAAATAAATGAAATATAAATATCAAATGAAGCTTCATTATTTTTTAAGTTAAATTAAATAATTATTAAACAGATCAAGTGATATTTATGTTTAAAGTAAAAATATCGCAATATGCAAAGTCAACTGAGTTAAAGAAATGTGCATATTGTGTATTGTAGATAGCACATTTTTTTTACACAATAGAGTTACAGCTACTGATGCATTCTGCTTTCTGTTTGTTCGCGCCATAAGTTACTATAATATTTCAATTCATGAAATCTGAATGTGAATTAAATGAACGAAATGGGACATGAAAAAGTACTGTGCCAAAATTAATTTTCCTTACAATATGTACTAGAAAAAATATTTCATATATTTTAATCCCCATATTATTCGCCAATTATTTCAAAGATCGTTTCACCCATAAGTATATTTTTAACATCGGATTGAAGCATAGGACTTAACTTAAATAGTTGTTACTCAATTATTTTTGCAAATTCACAAGTCTAGCAAAAGTGGTTCCTTAAAAAAAATTATTTCAAAGCAACACCCACCATCAGTCACCTCCTCTTTGGGCTGCTCCGGGACAGGTAGAGGCTCTGTAAGGGCTTCGTTTTCGACCCGAGTCTCAGGGTCTTCAGTCTGTACAGACTTCTTTTTCTTAGAATCCTTTCCTTTAGACTTTTTTGCGGGTGGTGGTTTACTGTTTACGGACACATAATTAATTTTGACTTAAAAACCACATACAGTAATATCTTTGCCTTCCTTTACAGGTTGCACCCGATGGCCGCCCATATAGTTCTAGCTTTAGAAACGAACTATCGTAAGTTTTAACAGTTTCGATGAAAGCATTGCAGAGATTTAATTTGTTGGTCAACCAAAGCATTTGCATAGGCTCTGCAGTAAAATTCAGAGTCAACTAACAGCCAGTTTCGAAAATCAAACTCCAGTAAGTTAAAGACCTATTATAGCTTTGATGCCCTGACATTTTTTTATTATTTTTACTACTATTGCCAAGAAACGAAACCAAAATAAGCTTTTTAGTTACAAGAGTAATTATTGAAACTTGCGGTAAATCAACGATGTTTGTATTTCCACCTCATTTACTTTTTAGTTTGTCATTCATTGCTTAAATATCATCACTAAAGGGAAATTCGAGTTGGCTTTCAAATATTGTTTTATTATACCTGCTACCAGATGTGGATGGCTGGCCATCACCATATCCGCTGCTACCACTTGAATTGCTACCAGAATGTGTTGACTTGGAACTCAGACTAAAAACAAAGCGAATATTATAATAATGATAACTTTTCAAATAGATAAAAAGCAAAATCGCTTAAACGCCACTTGAGTTACTTTACAGAAATAAGGATCACAGTTTTTTTTAACAAATAAATCATACCTCATTGTAAATGAGAAGTAGCGCCATAAAAATAAATACGTATAATTAAAATATTTTTTTCTATATAGGTATCTTCTTATTAAAAAGATGCCTTTACTCTACGAATTAGATGTCGTTTAAGCGAAAATCACTCGGTCCGCCATATATTTTTTGTCAAGCAAACATCAAATCATACGCCAAATAGGGCGTAAGCGCCATTGGTAAAAAAAACACCAAAATGATATATTCCTATAACTCATTTTCGACCAAAGTGGCGTATAAACGATTTTACCTTTCCATTGTCGAAATCATCTTAACTGATTTTATGTTGAGCTAAGAGTCGAGACCAGTACTCACCTGTACCTACCCCAAGCGCAAACTATGACAAACTTGGGGCACGAATTTTGACAGATCCTGATTCGTATCGCATTATCAAAGTTTCTATGGAAACTAAGTAGTTCCATAGAAACTGTGACGATGGCGATTCAAATACTTTCTGGCTTATTATTCGTGCTTGTGGTACAGTTGCAAAGATGAAAAGTAAGGTATTGAATTAACATTAATTTTATCTGGTATAGTTATTATATAACTGAATTACCTTCTAGACTGACTGTTGCTGCAACTTGCAGAGTACGCAGAATCCGTAATCTTGGCATTGTTATCCGAGTCATCTAAGTTATCCATGATTGTGGATTATGAGTCTGAAACAATAGATTATTATCATATAAATACACACAAAAAAATAATTTTAAAAAGGTACTTCGATGTAGTTTACTTTTTTCTTTTGCTGCTTCTATCGACTCAGTTATAAAATACATTTTTAAGATACTCGTAGTCTTCAGTTTTTATTGTATGTTAAACGATTACTATCGCACCAGTGCAAGAGTGAATTGAATCTTCTTTAAAACTATTGAATTTGAATTTGGGCCAATTAAAACTTAATATTATTAAGCTGAAGAGATGGTTTATTTGGTTGGTTGAACGCGCTAATCTCAGGAAGAACAGGTCTGATTTGAAAAAATATTTTTGTGTTGGATTGTGCATTTATAGAGGAAGGTTATAAGCTATTTAAAATAACAATAGGAGCGGAGTAGCAATGAAGAATGTTTAAAAAAAACGGAAAAAAAATATTCAATTAAGTACTACAACTTTCTAAGGATTGATAACTTTAATAAGTCCGTTCCGCACATGTTTGAACATTTTCGGATTGCTGCAGCACTTATTAATGCTTTCCACCTGCCAATCCGGTACAATACTTATGCCGACGCCATAATTACAATCATAAACGAGAGGATTCATTCTGAAAATCATTTGGCTCAACATGTCATGTAAAAAAACTTAAACAGGCAACGTGTCGTTTTTACAAGAACAGCTGCAAATCTTCCTGATTTTGAAGACAACACGCGATTAGAAGAACAACACTTGATTCTAATCGCCCTAGGAACTTATCATATTAAGATAGCAAGTTCTTACTGTGCTGAACATTTTAATTATGGAATATATACACACATCAAAAGTGTCTAGGGATCAACATATATTTTTGCAATAACTTTTCTCCTGATTGATATTAATTAAAATTTTCTTTAAGGATTCATCAAATAAAGTGTTTTCGTTTGTCACAGTAACGATAAACCAAGTCACCTTTGCATTAATAAAGAAATTTGCCATTTTCCTAATAAAGGGATTTTTGACATTTGAACCACTAACACAAAAGTTCGAGAAAAAGACTGAAATAACAGTTTTCTCTAAAATTTTATTGGGTAACTTAAACAATTAATAATCCGTATTTCTACCGCGAACACTAACAACACAAGAACATCGGTTTGGCATACTCAAAATGAGTTCATCCAAATCACGCTGTGGAATGGCCGCCCATGTTCGTTGCAACAACAAAAAAAGGTCTTCTTGCGACTGGATACCCTCCATATTCGGCAGAGCTCTTCTCTGTAGCATATCCCATGCATGCTCAATCGGGTTCAAGTCTGGCGACTGAGCAGGCCAGGGCAGGACATTGATGTTAGCTGCGGCGAGAGTCTGTCTTAAAACTCTTGCGGTGTGCGGTCGTGCATTATCATGCATTAACTGAAATAAGGGACCGATTTGCACTTGTAGAGGAACGATGACGTCTGATACAATCGTCTCAGCATAAATTTGAGCGTTGAGGTTGCCTCTGATCCAAATCAACTCAGTTCTTCCGCCGATCCAAATACCCGCCCATACCATGATGGTTCCACCACTATAAGGATGGACTTCCTGGCAGGATTTTAATCGCTGTTGGCGTCCAGGGGTTCTCCAGTGTCGTATACGTCTTGTATCCGGTCTCATACCAAAACGAGACTCATCAGAAAAGTACACGAAACGCCATTGTTCTTCTGCCCAATTTCTGTGCTCAAGAGCCCATTGATATCGAATCCTACGATTGTGCATTGCTATAGGTGGTACCCGTAGCGGTCTTCGGGAATGAAGGTTCACTTCATGCAAGCGGTTTCTGACTGTTTGGTCGCTAATTAAGTTCCCTGAAGAGTGATGAAGCCTCACGGCTAACATCATGGCGGTTATTGTTGGAGCTCTTCGAGTTAAGATTTGAATGTATCGGTCTTGTCTCCGTGTGGTGCAGCGATACCGTCCTCCATGGCGCTCAGCCACGGTACCAGTGCTTCGGTATCGTGTCCAAAGTCGACTGATAACACTCTGACTTGTATTCAGAGCTAAAGCCACAGTACGTTGCCGGGAACCAGCTTCTATCATTCCCACGGCTCTGAGCATTTCTTCCCTGCTTAAATGACGTCGCCGCTCCATAATAACGTTGGTTTTAATCAGTAGTAGGGAAACAGTAGCACTAATAATGTCTTCAATGCGTTGTATGTTTTTATAGGGAAAATATTGACAGCTGATTTTCATCTTTTACTCGAATTTGATTCACAGTTCCTGATTCAAATTATGAAATGCACCAAAAAGGATCCATATAAATTTATAAAATCATAAATTTATTACAAAGCCACATCTCAATCTCAAGAAATCCGCATAAAAATGCTTGATCCCTAGACACTTTTGATGTGTGTATTATTGAATTATACCGAGACAATGAACTCGATGATATCAATGAATATAACATTGAAGTGGAAGAAAGAAGTTTTTTACTGAGAGGACGAATAAAATCACGTCATTCAAGAGCCAAGTAATACTAAAGATACGTGCTAATTAACATAGGGATTGAAGGAAAAGACGCTTTTTAAAGACTATTATTGCACGTATTTGACAGGACGTTGCACAATTGGGACATGTACCTACACATTTAATATCAATCTTATGGTACTGATGCAGGTCGCGCCATCAAGAAGGTCTCATACCGCCAGCTGCGCACCTTAAAAATGTTATTTTGGACATTAGCATGATATAATACTGGCAACATAATATTATGTATTATTCACTGGTGTATTATTTTGTTGTAAAACTGGCTGGCGATACTCTATTCATAGGTTTAATCTAAATTCTATTGTCTGTCAGATTGATACTCTCACTTACTGTTTGTTTATCTTAATTACCTAATATATCTCTGTACAACAGTGGCGAAGCCTCCTTAGAACACGATTCCTGCCGGCTTACCTTGCCAGATTCTAATATACACACATCAAAAGTGTCTAGGGATCAAGCATTTTTATGCGGATTTCTTGAGATTGAGATGTGGCTTTGTAATAAATTTATGATTTTATAAATTTATATGGATCCTTTTTGGTGCATTTCATAATTTGAATCAGGAACTGTGAATCAAATTCGAGTAAAAGATGAAAATCAGCTGTCAATATTTTCCCTATAAAAACATACAACGCATTGAAGACATTATTAGTGCTACTGTTTCCCTACTACTGATTAAAACCAACGTTATTATGGAGCGGCGACGTCATTTAAGCAGGGAGGAAATGCTCAGAGCCGTGGGAATGATAGAAGCTGGTTCCCGGCAACGTACTGTGGCTTTAGCTCTGAATACAAGTCAGAGTGTTATCAGTCGACTTTGGACACGATACCGAAGCACTGGTACCGTGGCTGAGCGCCATGGAGGACGGTATCGCTGCACCACACGGAGACAAGACCGATACATTCAAATCTTAACTCGAAGAGCTCCAACAATAACCGCCATGATGTTAGCCGTGAGGCTTCATCACTCTTCAGGGAACTTAATTAGCGACCAAACAGTCAGAAACCGCTTGCATGAAGTCAACCTTCATTCCCGAAGACCGCTACGGGTACCACCTATAGCAATGCACAATCGTAGGATTCGATATCAATGGGCTCTTGAACACAGAAATTGGGCAGAAGAACAATGGCGTTTCGTGTGCTTTTCTGATGAGTCTCGTTTTGGTATGAGACCGGATACAAGACGTATACGACACTGGAGAACCCCTGGACGCCAACAGCGATTAAAATCCTGCCAGGAAGTCCATCCTTATAGTGGTGGAACCATCATGGTATGGGCGGGTATTTGGATCGGCGGAAGAACTGAGTTGATTTGGATCAGAGGCAACCTCAACGCTCAAATTTATGCTGAGACGATTGTATCAGACGTCATCGTTCCTCTACAAGTGCAAATCGGTCCCTTATTTCAGTTAATGCATGATAATGCACGACCGCACACCGCAAGAGTTGTAAGACAGACTCTCGCCGCAGCTAACATCAATGTCCTGCCCTGGCCTGCTCAGTCGCCAGACTTGAACCCGATTGAGCATGCATGGGATATGCTACAGAGAAGAGCTCTGCCGAATATGGAGGGTATCCAGTCGCAAGAAGACCTTTTTTTGTTGTTGCAACGAACATGGGCGGCCATTCCACAGCGTGATTTGGATGAACTCATTTTGAGTATGCCAAACCGATGTTCTTGTGTTGTTAGTGTTCGCGGTAGAAATACGGATTATTAATTGTTTAAGTTACCCAATAAAATTTTAGAGAAAACTGTTATTTCTGTCTTTTTTTCGAACTTTTGTGTTAGTGGTTCAAATGTCAAAAATCCCTTTATTAGGAAAATGGCAAATTTCTTTATTAATGCAAAGGTGACTTGGTTTATCGTTACTGTGACAAACGAAAACACTTTATTTGATGAATCCTTAAAGAAAATTTTAATTAATATCAATCAGGAGAAAAGTTATTGCAAAAATATATGTTGATCCCTAGACACTTTTGATGTGTGTATTTACATTCAAGCACAAGCGACCAATGACGTATACTTTAATGCAACGATATAATTACATTGCGCACTTTGTAAAAATATTCTTCAAAATGCTGGATACAATATACGCAATGTATTTGAAATCGCGCAAACGCACACAGATCCGCGCCGCGGTACTAGGCTGCATAAGCCGCTAATATTATTGTCAATTCAAATAAATAAAATGTAAGTACTTCACGCACACATACACATTACTACCACATGCAACCACTCGTCGCTATAACAGCGATATAACCCGATCTTAGATAGCTTGCAATCTTTATAAATTTGTAATGTGGTTTCGTTTCGCTTGAAGTTTTCGACCAATCAGATCTCGTCAAGCGGCGCAGCGGCGGTCGGTCTGCTATGTCAATTGAGGTCATTATTTCGCGCGCATTCGCATGGATGGATTCGTATGCTTATTTATCTATTGTGATAAGTGATTAGATTGATTGTGGTACCTATATTGTTTATTAAAATACAAATTAGTGAAATTGAACT